GAAGAGACTTATATACATGCATAGAGAGGAGGCCTGTGCGCTATTCTGACCGTTCAGATGCCTCATGCAGGAAAGGGGACCGTGCACTCAATAGCTTCATGGACTTCTCTTGCGAACGGCAGTCTCGCAATCGGCTCCAAAGTGCAGTGTCATCGTACGAGCCGAGCAAACTTTGCTCTGTCGCTGCGCATGGCGAACGGACCTACAATCGACGTCGCCGAAGTCATGTGCTTTCGCAGCTCCAGGCCTCTTCATCTTCGGAATCTTCGGCCAAAATGACGAAATGAAACGTCCAACCCGTTTTCCGATCATTGCAGCTCAGTATGCCGACTGAGTGGTGCACAACTTCGGGGTGACAAGCCCTCGCAGCGATGCCTAAGATACAAGATGGCTGCATCGAGTACTGATTGCTTTCGATGCGCATCTCCCGCAAAGTCAATCTCGGTTGGAACGTATGCTCTCCTTAGTGGAGCCCTTGGCTCGCACAGCAAGTACAGTTCGCACTCTTGAAGCCTTTGCGAAGGCATTCCGGCGTCTTTCGGCTTCGCCCTTACCGTCGATGTGGAGCAAGCGCTGCTCTCCCGAGAGGGATCAATGGGACGATACTGTACAACGCCCCTACCGCCTACTTCTCTGCACATTCAATAAATCGCTTGCACCTCCCCGGCTTCCTGCTCCAGCCAGCAAGTCAGAAGGCTGCCGCTAGAGCTCTGCAAAGCTTTCCAACCTCTGGCGGGAGTTCCTTGTCTGGCGCATCCCTTGGCAAAATGCAAACTTCTGGCCTCCCTACTCACGTGTGCGACCTGCAGGTGGGTCATCATTAACCTGCGCTAGGCACCACTCTGCAGCAAAATAAAACCAAAAGTAGGATCTGGCGTCGAGCACGATGCTTCGCTGTCGCACTGTGCTCGAAGCATTTCAAGCTCACATTGTCCAGCGTGTTTGACACCCTGCGCGCACTTCCTACCAGTGTACGAGCGATGGAGCACAATCGCTTTGAGCGTAGGGCTAGGCATACTGCTTCAAGCTTTAGAACCAGCCCGTAGATATCTCTGCATCTGGCCGACCTGATGCGAATGCATCAGAATCGGCGAGCATGCCCACTGGGTAGCTCTTCACTTCGGGTTCGACCAGAGCGGATCCGTATCAAGCCGCCGCTTGAGCGAGTAGAGGGGTGGTTGGGACTGCTTTAGACGTTCATCGAATCATTTACAGGCCTGCTTCGCTGGCTGCCGAGTCAGACAAAGCAATGCGACGATTGCCCATTTGAGCGATCTACACCGGGATTCTTGCGACAAGCCAGCCTCATCAGCAGCCGCTGGCGTGGAAGATGTCGCCTTCAGTCAAGCAGCGCGCCTACGAACTCTGCTGGCTGGTGGAGAGTAACGCTCACTTGGGTAACACACACGTTCCCAAGCCGGCTTCGCAACATCAATTAGAGAGGCTTGCGCAGCCCGCCAGGCGTTTCGCGACCGAATTTGCGCTTTTGCCAGATAATCATGAAAATTGTAGTCCACGACTTGCTCGGTTCGCTTCTGATAATCGGAGTCAGAAATCATCGGCAGCTGTGCCTTGCGAATCAGACTATCCCAAGACACCAATAAGACTCGACTTTGGCCCACAAGAAAAGACAACCTTTGTCACAGCATGCTCGATCTGCTCTCAGGCACGAGCACAAGTTCGATACGCAAGATCACACTGTCCCCAACTCTGCGTCGTCGGCGCCAAGAGGGTTGTACTGCAGCGTCTATGTGATCGATCCCCACAGTCCACGTGCGCGGCTCCTCGACATTGGCCTCTCGCTCAGGTGCATCTATGGTGCAGCGGTCTGCCCTCAAGCGATGTGGCGATCCTACACGCAGTGCTACATGCTCGTGGTTGCCCTGTGCCTCGACGCCGCACCCGCTGTTGCCTGTGAAGCTGTGCCGGCGCAGCTTCAAAATACGTTACTGGCTTTATCGTTATCCTGTACATGTAACGCACGTTGTAAGACGCAGCTCAGGCAACTGTAGCGTCTCTCTGGCTCGTCAAGGATCGGTCCACCTCTCTGACTGCCAGTCCATCTACGATTTGCTCTATAAGGATCGCTGGGTAATCCCGCTCCGTCTCAATTCTTCTTCCTCCGCATCGCTTCGAGACTGTTGACCACTTCTGGTACACTTCGCGTTGAGTCCGACATGGGCTTCACTCCCGCTACGCGACGCTCAGACACTGCTATTGTGCTGGAACGTAGCTATCGATTGCGAAAGATACAGCTTACATGCAACATCCCGCTCCTCTATCCCACTCTTGCTCAAGCGGCAGTTTCCGTCGTCGGCGTAAATAAGCCGCTCTCTCTTGCGGCTTGCTTCGTCTTTGGCGATTTATGGTGGGCGGATCGCTGCCTTCCTCACTTTGGTTCCTACTCTGGATGCTGTTCGCCGGCTTTCTTAGCGTCCTCCAATGTTGTGAAAACTGCAGTGAGCGGTAGACGACATCTTGAGCTCTCTCAGCTGCCCGACTTTTGCGTCATATTCCATCCCGCTTTCTCACGTCTCATGTGTCATTGTTGGGTCTGAAAGCTCGACTCACTTCGCACGTCTCCCGCCATGCCCCACTTGACACTAACACCATGACCCTGCTCCGGCGCTGCGAACGAGCAATTTCCGGATCGAGGACGTTGTTATCCCAGAGATGCCAAAGAGAAATGCCGAAACAAACTCGGGCAAGAATTCGGATCTCCTTTGTCCATTTGCGCGCGCTGGACCTTCTCTGTTATCGAGTTGCTGATTGTCAAAGGGCAGCGCTGGTAAAGTAAATGGCGAGCTTTGTTCGAAGCAGGACAGTCGGTGCCGATCGCGGAAGGTTTGCAACCTGATTTAGAAGTCATGTCAAGCAAGGTTTGGCCAGTGACAGCAACACAGCGAGCAACAGCGATCCACAGAGTGCCCCTCTCTCCTCGAGCGGCTTGCATCGTCCATCCTCGAGGCGCTGGCATTGTCCCGCTCGGTGCTCGATCTTTATGCTTCGATTATCCCGACTTTTCCGGCCTGGCCCCTCGGGACTTCTTTATGGCCTGCTGCAGAGACTAGCTTCACGCATGCAGATCGGACAGGACCCCGCGCGGCGCCACCGTGAGCTGTGCAGTGTGCAGGGCAGGCCGCCCCTGACCTGCCCCATGTGGAGGCTCGGGGTTCCGCGAATTGCTGCGTATGTAGAGGTGAACAAGGTGCATGAGAGAAAACCTCGGGCAGGCAGCATGCCTAAGCTGCGCTCGTGATTCCATGGCACTGCTCACCGAAATGCAACCCCGACAGTGGCAGAGCACAGCACCACACGAGCCTAGATATAGAAGGGACTGGCCAATCCAGAGATTCTTCTTTGCCCCCGAAAATGAGAACGGAAGAGCAATCAATGCAGAAGTACTGCTTAGTCCTCGCTGAGAGCGACGCTGCGGTGCTTTGCTGGTAGCTGCGGCAGCAGCATGAGAGCTTTGTTCCGCGTCTGGCGCTGAGAGTGGGTCAAGCTTGCTGGCCATAGCTGAACAACGCGCCTTGGATGGAAGTTGGTGGGGCAGAGTTGGAGATTGAAGGTGTCGCAACAAGAGCCAGCGCAGCGCACCTTGCTTCATTGAAACAAGGCAATATGCGCAGCATGCTTGAGGCGGAGGGCGGTAGTCGCATGCCGGAGCAAAGGAAGGGTAGTTGGATTGATGAACGCGCCCCTGTGGCAAGGCCAGAGGATGTCGTGCAGACCAAAGTGCATGTATGCGCAAGGCGAAAGGAAGCCAGAGTATCAAGAGTCGAGGCGCGCGTTCGGTCAGCTACCCCGCAGCCAAGTGACCAGGCTAGTGCTCGTACGCGAAGTCTGTGCGCACCTACGAGTGACACTTTGCAAAGGACAAAGGGAGCGCAGAAGAGAGGAACGATCAGCATGAAGGGAGCTGCTCCAGAGAAAAGCCAAATGAGTCTTCAGCAACTTACACGCACAGCATTTTGTACCCACGGAGCCGCAGCATCGGGAGGCCCCAATACGTGGCCCAGGCAATCCCGTGGCTTGCAACGCGTCTCTGACCGGGGTAGTCTCAAGACGTGAGACAGGCAGGTCGAGCTTCCTGACGCTGGGTATAGTATTCTGTTCGTCTGCCGCACGACCACAGCTCGAGCTGTAAGAGCAAAGACCGATGTTGCGAAGTCATGAACTCAGCCGGTAAGATGAAAGTCGGTGTCGAGTGTTGTAATCCTTCGGAGTAAGGCGAAGGCGGACACATTCGTGGTGCTGAGGTGTTTCGGCCCACGTCAGTGAATCACTCTAGCGTCTAGTACCATCGGACCGAGAGCGAAGGTTGCTGGGGCAAGCACAGTAGCAAATCGTACCTCTGCGCTATCGTGGCTCACTGGAAAGAGGATAGGTCATCTCGTGTAAAGGACGGTAACGAGCTACATGGGCGTCGTCTTGCGCTACACCTGCTCAAATGAGGCACTCACTTCGTGAAAACAAGATGGCTTGAGTGAATCAATCGGGACGATGGAAGTGGAGACGACAAACGTCGCGAGCGCGCCTCATGCATAAGAATGTACATATGTAGTGACTTCATGTTGCCTATGAAGCACATCACCTGGTAGAGCATAAGCGCTGGTAGAGCATAAGCGCGACAAAGAACAGAACATGCTTCTTGTTCCAAGCAGAAGAAGATCATCGGGCTGTTCTGTTGTGTAGGTGCGAGGCCCACGAACAGGGACCGACGCTCGTTCGTGCGAGGTAGCACATGCAGAAAAGCCTCTCACAGCGCTTTTCACCTTGACTCACGTGAGCTGTGAGCGGCCATTGTGCGCAGCCACGTGAGGTTCAAGGTAGCAATTCGAATCAAGAATCAAATGGCTGCGAGCGGCGTGCCGATATATCAGGAGCCACGTGGCGACTGCGCATTCGTGATCCGTGATTGACTTAAGAATGCGTTTGCTGCTGCGCTGAACATGCATTCAGGTCATCGCCCCTATAGGCTCTTTGCTCTCGACGTCGATAGTCGAAACCCTTCCTCACCTTCAATATCGACTTTAAACATGGTAGAGCCAATTCACAACCCAACCCCCAAATTTCGCGACATCGCAAAGGCGGTCGAGGGCCTGACGCCCTCGCCCGAACAGCAGGAGATACTCAAGCTATGCAAGAACATCCACAAGTCAGCGTTCAAGGGCGAAATCCAGATCGCTCAGCGAGCCATCGACAATGTGAGTACGAGCTTGGCATATGCATGCCAGCCAAATGGACGAGATAATCATGATGACTTCCTCTTTGCCCCTCTCTCCCAGATCACCACTGTCGAGAAGCTCCTTAAGATGGTCGGCGGTGAATATCAGAAGGGGTTTCCAGCTGGAAACCACTTCGAGCGCACTGATTATGTGCAGACGTTGCTGGAGCGTCTGTTGGTGAGTTCTCACTCATTCACTACGACACACAAATTTCTAAAAGCGTCATCTCTCTCGACCTGGCAGCCAATCATTGAGACGATCACCTCCAACGCGAGCAAAAAAAACCACGATGAGCTCGTGGCTCTCCGAAAGGAGAATCAAAATCTCAAGGCCGAAAAAGAGGCCTTCCTTCAGCGCTTGCTGAAGGACCCTTTCCTCATCGGAGAGGGTAGCGATAGCAAGTCGTCTTGACAACGTAAGTTGCAGCTTCTCGCACGCACGCACGCACGCATAATCGCTTATGCTCAAGGCGACCTCCCTAGATATCAGACAGATCTGTGCTTCCTCGCTCTTCTGACGTTTCGATTGTACTCATCACCTCCGTACCGCGCGGATGGACAGCTGTGGATCACGAATCGAGACTCGTCAATCTTCAAGGCTGGCACCGCGCCGCAACGACGCTTGAAGTGTGCATGATTCATACCTTCCCCGCGCTCTGTATGTCAGGACCGACTCCCGGGCATAGAACATCCCTGACGCAACACAGAACGAGGATTTGAACAAATTGAGATTTTCCAACTTCAAACACCTGGTGTCGTGCGAAATATGCTTGCGTTGCTTTGTGCCGTTCCGCACACCTGCACCGCTTTGTCACTAGTCCTGAACACGTGCTTGAGGTATCGTACAGCCCCGACCCGTTCTAGCAACCACTCATCCACTCTTGCTGCGGGGCCAAGTAATCGTTCAACGCTATGCGCCACTAGATAAACCTGCTCAGCGAAGAAAAGGTGCAGCCGCTCAGAAAGGAGCGTTCATTGTCGCTGCAGCGAGAGCTAAACTCACCGACAAGATGCGAAACTCCCTCTCGAGCCTGGCCACGTAATTTGGGCCCATTCCCGCGCGAGCCACGAAGAAGGCAAAGTAAGATACCTTGAGCTCCGAAGCGCTGACGCTCGTGTCTTTTGTCGCATAGAGGTCAATAACCTCGTTGGCTTCTGCGATAGCCTCTGCGCACCCCTCTGCACCCATTGCACCAGTGCCCACGGTGTCCACCGCAAAGTGGGAAGCTGACATACTGACAGGCGAGTGATCAGATGAGCTGAAGGGGATTGATCAAAAAGCAGGATCAGAACAAGTTGAGGCTGGCGGCCAAGAGCACCAAATCTCGCCATTGTATGCTCACCATGCGCATGCTCGATCAGTTTGGCAAGTCAGAAGATGTCTTTCGAGGGCGCCGGACTGTCCGAAGCAGAAGGGCGTGAAGTGGTAGGCGTTTGTGAGGATTCAACTGCCTGTGTGGGATCGACCACCACAAGCGGACTTACTCGCAATGACTCACCACCATCGAGTCTGAGTTGAGTGGAGATTCACGAACCTTGAATGTACACCGAAGTCAGATCTCGTGGATAGAAAGTTGAAGTCTTGAGTCACGAGTCGATATGCTCAAAGACTGGGGCCGTCCCGCGCACGTGCGCGTCCGCTATGGGGCACGCAAGCCTGCCGCGCACGGACGCGTTGTGTACGGTGCTGGTCTAGCTCGTATAAGGCTCGTGATCCTGGCTTCACTGAAGCTTTCCCACGGGACATGCCACAGCCAAGCACGCACGCAGTAGCAAGATCAAGAGACCGCATAATTTGCGGCAGTCTGCCAGCCTTCAGCGAGTCACGGTAACGAGCCTTCATCTGACCTGCAGAGCCCAGCATAATCTCAAGGCATGGGTGCAGCAGTGACACTTCCAGGAAGGCCTGCGGCGAGACACTGGGTCTGTCCCACACCCTGCGCAGTTTGGTCTTGAGTTACGAATAGCAACATCAATCACGAATGTGAATGTGTACTGAAAAAAGAGTGCGCTCTGATACATCCGCGAGCGACCTATGAGCACGAACTGGCGCGTCAGTCATGGAGCACTGTAGAGAGAGCATGCGTCTCGTGCGAATGGGCGCTCGCTCGTCCTCAAGTGCTCCTCCTCCTTTGCATCTGCCTTTGACGCTGGTAGCGCATGCTCTCGCAAGCTTCACAGCGCTGCTGCCCATAGTGCGTCAGTCGCGAGATGTGGGCGCTGCATCCTGATTCACTGTGGTGCCCTCAAGCCTGAGGTGAACACCAGCCGGTCAGTATATCGCCCCTGCTTGATCTTCTCGCGCCGTCTCCACAGAAGACCTGCAGATGTATATAGCGCGAGTCAATTTTTGGGGGGGCCGCTCGAGTCGCATGGGCCGACAAAATGCCGCACGCGCCGCCGGAGAGTCGGACGGCGAGTCGCGATCGATGGACTGCGCCTGCCCTGCTGCCGCAAACATCCGCGGAATGTCGAAGAAAATGTCAACGACTGCTGCAGTGCCGAATGAGGGCATTTTGCCCCGCGCGGGAAAGCTTGCGAGCGTACGCAAGACTCGGCGCTCAGGCACTCCGCGCGGCTCAGTGCATGGAGGCGACAGACGAATTTGATTAAATTTGGGTCACTTTCCTGGGCGCGGCACGGAGGCATGTCAATCTCTTGATCGGCATGCCCATGCATGCAAGAGGTTTGGATGGAATAAGCGACGTGGGCCGTGGCCCGCTTCAAAGCGCATGGTCTGCGCATATATATCCGGACTCGCGTGCGTCAAAGAGCAAAGTTAATTCTACGCCCAAGACCCTAGACCCGCTATTCGACGACTGCGCAATCGTCTACACTTTCCAGGAGGTGACATGATTACACAAGCAATTTGCGCCTCAAATGATGTACCGAGTCTGCGCTAGACAACCGAAGATTCGAGGAAAGCGCTATAGCTCTTTGATGTGAAGGCAGGCATCGCGTGACGCCTGCTAGCAGCGTTAGAAAGCGCTACCGCCAAGGTCGTGCGGGGAAGTCGACAGCAGCACGAGGCGCGCGTGCACGGGCATCTCCACAAGGCTGTGCGGCATTTCAATTCTTGACCGGTGGCTCTGGCATGCACGCGCAGGCGGTAGAAGCCTTCAAGCTCAAGTGCCCGCGCGTGGCCCTTGCTGAACCGTTGAGTCACAAGGGTCTCTCTAGGCCAACAGTAGTCGTGAATTAGAAATCTGCTCGCATGCCAGCAGTGCGGTTGATTGAAGGTATGCGTGGACATGGGCTTAGCTCTGCGTCTTCCTCAGCGAGTCCCTGACAGTGACCGGTAGCTTCGGCACGCGAGCAAAGCCTGCTGGCCAGGGAGGCAGCGCATGTGCGAGTCGATCGTGTAGCATACACACACCCTGATTGCTCGCGTTCCCTACCCTTCTTTGTCTGTTCGAGATGACCTTCCACGCTTCTACATTCAAGATCACGAGTCAAGAATCCGACACCCAAACATTCCTTGCCCACACGTTCTTGTCAGACCAAACAATACCGGATCTTTAAGATTACTCAGCTGCTCTTCACGTTCTCGACTGGTCTTCACAGTCATCTCGCGCCTTGACGATGGGCAAGCGCAACAAAAGCAACAAGCGCTCGGAGTGTAGTGGAGGCATCGATGTCGACGAGCTTACGGAGACTTTGGACCTCTCCTTGGAGAATGAAAAGTTGACGGAGCGACTGATCCGCTCCATCAAGGCTTACAGTCGCTACACTCCACACGAGCGCATGATTCAGCTGCAGAGTGCCAGAGGCGCGCGTCTACAGGCTGTAGCGAGGTACCTGGCTCAAACCAGCAGGATCTTGAGACTCGCATTGCTTGGAGGACTGACTGGAGATACTCAAAAGCGCGGAATTCTGCTTTACAGGCTGGTGAGTTCCCCGCAAGCTGAACAAAGTGTCCGACTCGATTGACTCGCTCGAGATATCCCCAATTGATCGCTTCCATTTGCGGACGAAACTCAGGTTCGCGTTGCTCGCAAGGGAGCTGCTTACTTGGGAATGAAGAGGGCCAAAAAGTCCACGTTCAAGTCGATTGACGAGGAGCTCACTTACCACATGGAGCTCAGCGAGCTTGCACACGTGAGTAAGCACTCTTGCTGCTGCAGTTGTTCAGCGTTGCGGCTTTCAAAAAGACTTACGGCTGACGGCATCTGTCGCGTCTTACTCGCTCCGGCAGAAAGCGGCCCTGGACGCCATGCGTAGCTTTGCCACTACCTCTCAGGCGTGCTTGAATTCACATTGTCTTTGATCGGCATCGGAGAAAAGAGACCAGGCGCAATACAGTATTCGGTAGCAGCCTCTTGTAGACTGTCAAGAGTATATCAAGCACTGGACACAAGGATCGCGCGCATCCGCCTCGTACTCTCCTCGAATATCTTTCTTCCTGACCAATGATTAGGCGCTTTGCGGGAAGTGAGAAGCAATTAAAGCCAACCCAACCTCAGCTTTCGCTCGGCATATACACGGATCTACGCTTGATCGACCGCACACAAGAACCAACTTTCTCCGCAGAGCATAACGATTCGCTCGGAGCGACTTTCTAACGATCACAAATGAATCTGTCTTTGATCAAGGCCACGTCCCGGCCCAAGCCTAGTAAACCCTTATCACTGCCGCAATGCATTCACTTCTCGTATCGTCAGACATTTGCGAGCCTTGCCATTTCGGCTCAGCAGTCGCGTTGGGAGAGGTAACCATGGTCAGATGCTGTTGAACCGTCGCTTGCGAAAAGGGGCTTGACACAGAAAAGGTGATGAAGAGAGCGGTAAATACGCGAAATCGTGAGAATCGGGAGTCCGTGAGGTGGCAGTCGAGGATGGAAGGATCTAGATAGCCGCGGACAAGCAGTGGCGATCAACAAGAGTTCCATGTGACGCAAATGGATGTGTCACTCACCTTTGCAATCGGTCAAGGGCCATCCCCATCATGCGGACGAAGAGGAAGAAGGCCAGATACCCAGAACCTCGTCTCCCCAGAAACGCCTGGCGAACTCGTAAGAGTTGCCTACCTCGGAGCTTGTCTCCGGGGCGCTTGCGCTCGCCGAGTTCGACTCCTCCTGCGGCACAGCCGAGCTGTCTCCCTCCCCTGTCTCAGTCTCCTCCGGCGCCTCCGGCGCCTCCGCTGTCTCCGGCGCCTCTACCTCCACCGAGCTCTCCTCGACCGAGCTCTTCTCCACCGAGCTCTCCTCGACCGAACTCTTCTCCACCGAGCTCTCCTCGACCGAACTCTTCTCGACCGAGCTCTTCTCGACCGAGCTCTCCTCCACCGAGCTCTCTGTCACCGCTTCCACCGATCCCTTCACCTCAGCTTCCTCCGAGTCCTCAGCGCCCCCGTTGTTGGATACCCCACTCTCTTCACTCCCACCGGCTGTGTCCTCGACTCTCTGTATGCAGGAATATGAAGCGAACGAGCATTGGTGTGAGTAACCGAAATGACGTTCACTTCACTTTGCTGGCGATCATGAATGGGATGATGAGACTAAAGCTACTCACGATCTGTGTTAAAGCGGTGGCGGCGGCGGCGACGTTCGCTTCAGCAAGCTGTGCTTGGAGGTGCGCAATTTCTTTGCGAAGCTGCTCGGCCTCGGCGTCCTGCTTCTCCGTCTTGACCCAGAGGTGTCTCATGCTGTCGATCACAGCATCTCGGTGCCTCAGGAGGTCAGGGAGGTCTTTTTGTGAGAGACCTTCCTTCTCCTTCTTGTTGACCCATTCCTTCATTTGAAGGCCGGGGACCGTGAGGCTCTGACCGGCCGCTGCCGCAGCTGAGCGAGTAAGAGGCATGATGGAGTGTTTTGAGTCTGGTGATGTAAGCTGGGAAAATGCTTTTTAAAGTTGTCGAGTCGAGGATGGTCGTGTCAAATCGTGGTGCGATGGCCTTGTGGCAAGGTTTGATTTTTTATCCTGTTCGTGGTGTGCGAAGCGCCGCCCCAAGTTTGCACACCGACGTGCGCTAAACCAGCACAATAGCAGTGTGCATGATGAAGCTAGTAGATGCTTTCTGAAGTACCTGCACCCCAACAGAGAGATGCACACTCACCTTGACTGAGCGCTCACGCCCGAGCCAGGCGCGATGCTCGCAAAGCCGCACGCGTGCGAGGTGGCATAGCAGTAGCACGTGTAAGCAGGCACGCTCCCTGCTGCTTCTGTGCACCCAGACTCGAGTCGTCCGCTGCCCAAAGATTGGGTGCTGGCAGGGTGAACGTTAGATTTGTTGGGACCGACCGGACTGGCACTTGCCATGTCTTGTGTTGCTAGCACGTGGTCTTTGGGGACAAGCATCGGCCACGATGATAGTCTTGAGTGGGATAGACCATGACAGAGTGGGGAACGGTTGAGCCCCGCCAAGTCGAGTGCGTCGGGCTTCGTCTCAACAGCGAGTCTTGAGTTCTCACACGATACGCTGAAAGGAGACTGCCGTGCAAGGACCTCATCATCAATAGTCGTAGTCTTGAGTAGCGATCGATTGGAAAACGATGATGCTCAGGAGAGGCACGGAGAATGAGTGCGAGGTCGTCGTGAAGATGTGGCTATTCGAAAGCTGCGATAGCACCAGTTTTGCGTGCTATAGTAGCTGTAGCATGCCACGAATTTTCTCTCCGTGCGCTCTTCACTCACCTCATCAATTTCGCCTCAGGCTTACATCAATTAAGGCGCCAATCACCCACTCACGAAATAGACTCTCACGCTTCCTCAGCGTCTGGCCCCGTGCCAGTAGTCTGAGGATCGTGGCGGTGCTCAACCAAGGGCATGGGCGCAATATGAGAATGGCGAGCGCCGCACCAGGGCAGTTTCTCTTGCGGTCAGCGCGATCGGCCTAGCGCAACCTCAATTCAGCTTTCCATCTATACGTATGCAACGCCGAACCGTTTGACAAGCAGGCTATAGGACATACAGCACGGGAAGTGACTGCAATGCCTCGTCCGACTGGACAAGCTATTCTACTCCATGCCATCTGGCTAGTCGCAGTCAACAGTGGCTTGGAGTTGCCAGACTCACGAAGGCGTGAAGATCACCTCGTCGTCTCAGACTTTCCGTCATCACCTGCTCGCGAGTCGTTCTAGAAATTCGGTTCTTCAGCCAAAGCTTCTTTGCGTGCCCCATCTCTGACAGCCACCGAGTGGAAAGACTCGTCCGACGCGTAGAAGTGCTCTTGAGAAGCGGCATCCGAAAGCCTAGAGCTCAATTTGGTGAGTAGACTCGCCACGAGCCCGTGAGGGCTGCAGACCACTGGACTGAGCTCTATCTCTTTGTTGCATTGCAGGCTTTGCACCAAAGGAGCATTCATTTTCTCTCCTCCTTCTTATTCGCATTCTTATTTGCAAAGATATCAGATCGATCTGGCGTCACCTTGAAAGATCTATGCCAGCTGCCAACTCTCTTCTGTAATGGCCAGATACGAGTGCGCACTCTCTTGCTTGCAGTCCACCGACCAATCCGACGACCCGATCTTTCAGCGTAGAAGCTAGCACTTGCCGGTTGAATGCTGCTTGAGCGGCTGCAGCGGCTTGGGAGGCGAGAAAAGTCACTTTCACAGGCACGCTCGAAGGATGGCCTTTCGTTCTCGCGGCGTTGAGCCTTCTGTTGCTCATCACTGACGCTGGACGTCTAGGCTTTTTGTGTCGAATACGTAAGCTCGTTTCTTACATGAGCCTTCAGGAGTCCTTGCCCGCAGGCTTTCCGATTAACAGCGCGTTTTTTTTCTTTCTTTGCCTGTGAGGCTCGTCTTCATTTGCAGCGTACGAATGGAGCAGCCCAGTGATTTCTAGCCTTATCTGGCTTGACACGCTTGAGCATTGCTGCGCCTTCGTGGGCCAAGGGATCAACTGCGGAGGGCTCCTCAAAACCTCATCTGGCCGCACCTGGCAAAGTAGAGCGTTAAAACGGTAGCGGGCGCTTCTCTTTCGCAATGCAGACCTGTCACGCTGCTAGCGACATTAGGGCTCTTGGAACAAGCACGTGCGTAATCGAAGGCTTGGAAGTCCTGTCACGACCGCTGCGTATTCTGACAGACGCTGCCCTTCATGTTCCATTCAGCAGCAATTGAACCATGTTTGCATCCGTCAATTATGACCCACTCGTCTTCTTGTGACGATGCGGGTGTCGAAGTGCTTCTCGGATGCCTGTGGTGGTCAGTCCGGGGCCATCGAGCAACAAGGCTGTAGTAGGACCACGTCAGGATTCAACTTTTCGCAATTTGCCAGCTATTCCGTAGCCTTCGACTTCACCTCCTTCGACATCAATGTCCAGGTCGGCGGTCTGTCAAGAACGAAACTGTCAAAAGACCCTTTTCTATGCCCGCCAGTGGCCATCTTTGGCCATCTTTGGTGAGTCGAGCGCAAGAGGGGACTAGAGATTCTTGCAGAAAGCGAAATACATGCAGCGCTTGTCCGGGTTCCAGAAAAATGCCGGCTGACGCGTTGACTGCTCTGTCCGCTGAAGCAGAAACATACAGCATCTGTCCCCGTCTGGTGGGTCAAAAGCCGTCAACATCCCCTTGAGACCACCACGATGCAGACTGAGCTGCCATGCAATGGTGCCCCTACAGGCATCGGTCTCAACGACTAGCGCCGGGCGTGATGGCCCTGCTTGTACGGCCAGCTATTCAGCACAGCCGCGTCCAGCTCCACCCGATATCGGGCACAGCGATTCCGTCAACAAGATTGAGGAGAACAGAGCATACAGCAATCCCTTTACTGGAGTTCTCTTCCAGCGTTGCTCAGATCTTGGATGGGCGGTAACGGTGCATCAATCCTTTGTCAAGGACTACTTGCAGGCGGTGAACATTCGCGCTGAGATTTGAATTCTGCCCAAGGTCGCCTTCCCCTCAAGGCTCCCTTCAGAGCAAGATGGTAGAAAGGGCTTTGCAACATCCTGTTCTTATCTCAATCGATCTTCTCTGCAACGAGATCTGGCAGATTATCCTTGCGCACGCCACATGCGATTGCCCGAGCGTAAAGGACAGCGTTTGCAACCGGTAGCACTTGCACGCTCCAACTCATCATATTCGCGCTGATCGAAGGAGCAGAAGTACCGACCCATTCCGTGGCGTTTATCTGCACACATTGCAAGCACCTTCATTGGGCTCCAGACGCGTTCAAGGAATGCGCGATGGCACTGCCGATTGCTTTTGGCTGCAGCCTTGCTGTTACGGCCGAGGCGCGTACTAGGAAAGACGACTCAAGTCCTGTCGCACGCTGACGAGCGCTCTGCTAGTTTATGGCGCAGCGAAGGAGCTGGGCTCAGTGTCGGACCAAAGCTTTCAACGTCCATCTTAAGATGACTTACTCTTCTGGCCAGTGTTCGGACGGCATACAATCCAGCATCAGTGTTCGAAGGGTCCAGGCAATGGAGGCGCTCATGAAGACTAGCCTTCGATGGATACTTTCAGTGGGAGGATCTCTGAGCGAGGGGCACGAAAGTGAGTGCATGAAGGCGAAGTACTAGTTCAGTGGAGACAGCGCCTCGACTTACTGAGCTCTGCGTGGTAGCGGTCGGCAACCTCACTTGTCCTGCAGCAAGCATCGATGTCCAGCGTCGGCGTCCTGACATTCTGCTTGCTCCGGACCAGAGCTCACAGGGCGCGAGCTTACTGGAGGCGAAGAGTCCGCATCGACCATGTCGAATGATCACGAGAAAAGCTCGACCGCCGCAAAGCTTCTCTAGGATAAATTCGGCTCCTGATCGAATGGGCCTTGCGTCCAGGGAGAGTGCCAGCAATCCGAACCTGGACTGAAAGCAGACAGGTGAGTCGGTCTTCGTGTGCACGCCGTATGAGCCACTCTCCAATCACAATTCTCGCGTGTTGACAATGAGGCGGTCTGGAGTGCCACATTGACAGAGCGATTGAATTCCAATGGGCTTTCATTTCCAACTGGTCTTGCGCTACTTGAAGGCCCCTGTGCGTCGCCTCGATATCCGAGCGTATCGACAATTTGCCCAAGATGTCCAACGACGCCATTTTGACTGCTCGTCAAAGTACGAAGACCTGTGGGGTCAACCAATTGCGCCCGGTATCACTCTATCGTCAGTCGCCATCGCAAGCAAATTGTGCTGGTCCGTAGAGAGGGACTACTAGGACAGGGTCAGTCGGACCGCCTCTGTAGCTGCCGGATGCTGCCTTCGACTTGCACCGCTGGCGTCAAGGCCCTATCACAAGAAGGACAAGCTAGACGGCGTTTTCCCATCGACATCTTGACCCTTGGATGCAGACTTCGACCTCCAAGCTCGTTCACGAAGGCGCAAATGATTTGAGCTGGTCAGCTTATTGCCCATCAATCCGGCTCCTGCTAAAGTGAGTCGGCCAGCGTGGCCCTTTCCAGCCGCGTCTTGCTCGCACATACTCCACGAACCGTCTTGCAAACAGTCTCGCCATCACTCGCGCCAAGTACGCCAAGAATGTGTAGCGACCGGCAAATCTCAGGCGTGCTCCTTGAGGCGTGGTCGTCCACGCGCACCTCGCTCGCGTTGCGTGATCTTTTCCATTCCTCCGGCACACAACAACAGAGTGATCCTAAGCTCAAGACGGCGCTCGTGGAACGATGTACCGCTTTTCTGCAGTACCCAGCGATGAGATTACGAAGAAGTCTGCGGGGATGACCTATGTGCCCCTGCCCGCGTTGTTTGTATGCATCCTCTCGTCGCGTAGGCTCGCTTGAGCTGCGAACCTTGAGAGCGATGATCCATAGACTAGGCGGGTTTCCCTATTTGCAGCGTCATCGAAAGGCGCATTGAGCAGGGTATGATGGACAAAAGGCCTGGGCTGAGGCTGCTGGCCCTTGCTTCGGGCGAAATGATTAAGGCGTAAGAGAGAGTGAATGGACGGGAAATCGGTGTGATGCCGCTCCATTCAGTTCACTTTGGAGAGGTTCCTGCCAGTGCTGCGCAAACACACGGAAGCTCAAGCAGCATCAAGCCGAATGGTGAGATGGCTCAAAGATGCGATGCAGAGCCGTTATATGCCAAGATCAGGAAGCCAATGTTGCAGAGAGGCAGGCGACGAAGGACATCACAGTGTTAGGAGGTTAATGTCCGTTCGACCGGCGACTTGAACAGTGTCCTGTTGACGTCGAGTATTCGCTAAAGGGTCACCGGAGAGATCGCCCTCGAGAGGCGTCCAAGTGGGTTCCACAGAGTCAAGCGTCATCTGCTTTGGCGCTCATCTAATATGAGTCGTTGACGAGCCTCTGTGCCTAGTCATGTGACAGACCAAGAGAATGCGCAGGCGTCATTGCTGTCTGAGTGTTGTGTGATGAGAGTTGCGTCCCCTGATTCGCAGAAAGGGGTGGCAGTTTTTGAAGACCGAAGAGCTTCTGGCTGACACCACGTTAGCGCCAGATCGTGGACCAAGCCATCAGAGTCTGCACAGTCGCTCTGGTGTAGCAGTCATCGGAGTGTGCGGCCCTGTTTGACTACGCGAGTGCATCTATCGAGGACGGACACCATCGGCTTCTGCACATTGACAGGGCGCCCTATGAAGAGTTGATTGGCCCGTCAGATGCGGTCATGCCGTGTTGAATGCCAAGAGCTGATCTGAGGCTCGAGGGGACGCAGGGAGCGCTACATCGCCGGGCGAGAATGTAGGTGGCGTCGTTGAGGATGAGTCTCTGCAGTGTGAGATGCTTCGAGCTCATTCGAACCAGCCGAGCAACAGTGTCGAGGGAAGAGCATAGCGGGCGCCATACTCTCGAGAGGCTTCGCGCGCGCGACGCTGTTACCTCGCTACCGAGGTGACAAGCGCGTCTATATGCGCCCAACGCCATTGCTGAGTCATCAGAGCCAGGGCTTGACCTTGAAGGGCCTCGAAAGAGAATTCGATGCTCCAGCTTGCCTGCGGTATCGCTGAGAAGTACAGACGATTCGCCAGAGAGTTAGCGCTCGCGAAACGCTCGAATGTGCAGCAATGTCACCGCGCACCTTAGCTTCAGAGTGCTAGACTCGAGGTCTACGATGAAATACTTGGCATACGATAGCATCATTTGCGTTTTGGAGGCGCCAGGCTCGGTAGGCTTGTGTAACCTTGTGCTTTAGCCGGATAGCTTCGTCTGCACGGGACTCGTCCTCAAGCGGTCTCGACCTTGGCTGCCAAGTGGATCTAGGATTTAATGCGGCCAAAGAACTCTTAGCTGAAGACTAGCCAGCCAGTTGTGCAAATGCTTTGCCTGAAGAGAAGCTGGCATGTCGGTTTCTTACTCTCGTAGCACCATCAATCGTATTTTCTCCCACATTGGTAGTTTCGTCGCAGCTCCCATCTGAATCCTGGGCAGCTGTGTGGAGAGTGCAGCCGTGTGGACACACTTCATCAAAATTGACGAAGTTATTCAGAGAGTCGAGGGTCTGGTCTACGAAAAGGACGTCTGTGCTGCTGCCATCAACGTTCATGGACATAGACACTGTGGCGCTGTGTCTACAGCTTTGAGTGGTGGAACAGACAGCCAAGTGCTGCCAAGTCCGAGGAGCTGGGATGGAGATCAATCGAAAAGGCAAAGAGGACTGCGCCAAAGTAAGCCGCAGGTGAAGCGCATGCTGATCTGGCACTGATTTGCAAGGTGCGGAGTAATGGATCGAAGCGAACGCGAAAAAGCCTCGCGAATGTCGCTAGAACGCTAGCCAGAGCCGCACACAGAGTCAGTCAACTTGCAAGCCCGAAAAGAAGTGCACCAATACACACCTTCTTGCATTCTCAAACCATAGCATGTTCGCTTGGATGTGGATCATGTACGACGAGGCGCAGACACGGCGTCTCAGCTGCCCGGATTGCCGCTGAACTATCGAAGCTTTTTTCTTGGTGGGCTCGCATTCGTGTCATAGGCAAGCGAGAAAGTCGCGCATGACGTACGCCAGTGCCGCCTTTAGTCTAAGAGCGTAGCCTATCACGTTGCCCACTCGCTCTCGCGATCACGATCCCCGAGTCTTGAGTCTTCTACCTTCCAGACGCATTGAACATCCTCAAACGGGGAGTCCGAAATTGGTTCCACAGGAGCCACAAAGAGAAGGCCAAACAAGCTCTTGATGACGTCCAGGAAAAAGCTCTGCTCCGAAGGCTGTGCTATCTCCGCTGCAAGCGAAGGTCCTTGTTTCGATTTCCGGACAGCAATGGACGCGCTAGTCTCCTCGTTCTACGGCTGCGCTCGATGCTCACTCTCAAGCAATGACTCGGTCCAGTATCGCGCATTCGTTTCCGACAAGCCCAAGAAGTCGCTTGATAGAGTGACGGATGAACTTGGCCGGCTTCACACAGAGCCTTCGTCCTGAGGCGGAGCGCGCACGGCCCCATGCGCTGGCGTCTCACTCGCCATGTACGCCCTCCGTTCGAGTGAAGCTGACGCAGCTCGTCGAACAGAAGACAAACGTTCGCGTGAGGCGACTGCCGAAGTGGCAAGGCCGCGAGAGGCGAACGGACATCGTGCGACACAGTACCCCACACAGACCAGAACCATAGCTGCTGATGACGAGCACGCACAAATGGCTCTGGAAGAGTCAAATTCCCGGAGCGTGTGTTCGCGGAGAGCACAATAGTGTCTCTGCGCCAGCTGAAGTGGGTCGAAGACTCCGAGAGCAGATCCGTCAGGTCCGATAAGTAGAGCACGGTCCGTCATGCGCTTTCGTAAGTGAGACGACCACCTGCACCAAGCGGCGGGTGGGTTTGCCAGGTACGCTGAGTCCGACGGGGTGTGGGAGTGGCCTGAAATCAGACGAGCAAAGTCTCGAGAGCATACAGGAAAGGCCTCCGACGTGCCTTCTCCGGGCCTCTGCATAATGCCTTGAGGACGCACCTTCGCTGCGTTGGCATGCTCAAATTAGCGCAGACAAGAGCTGCTGGCTGAGCGAAAGGGACCTAGGCTCGCCGAGAGGCGGACGCTGATCAAAGCACCCAAATGCCCTGGTCTCTCCATCCAGAAGCGCTTGTAGCAGTGACACAGCAGACCCACGCTGTAGTGCGCCGCCCTTCGGATCCAGTGAAAGCGGGAGTGCTCTCGAATCACGTGGACAGAGCAAGATGCCGGTCGAGGCCGCAAGAGAGCTGGCCGCGTACATGTTGTGGCAGAGGCAGTGCCTGACTTGTGCTCAATGCGACTCGAAAGTAGGGTTTCCTCTGGATGAGATGAGACTGAGTAGGAGACGGCGGCTGCTGCAGGACATTTTAAGCGCGAATGATGGCGTGGCTTTGTGGTGGATCGTAGCGAAATGTCATTACTGCCTCGTACTTGGCCAGTGGACAGTCCACCAGAAAGAATTGAGACGCTGGTGTTGCCCTGCTTCGCCAGCAAATGAACATAGCCAAGGAGAGCGATGTAGTCCAAAGGATGCAAGGCACCACTGCTGCAATGCCAATCGACTCCGGGTCGAGTGCACACTTCGCGTTGCATTCCACATGTCTTCACCAAGACTCATATATAACGCGAAAAGAAGGTGCGCCGATCACTGAATCGCGATCTTGTTGGAACAGAAAGGGTTTATGTCACCAACGTGTCCGCCGAGTCGGCTTATGCATGAGCAGAGGGGACTATTTGCCGAGATGCGATCGCCTTGCAGGAGGTGATCCAGTAGCGCAGAGCTCTCCAGCGCTGGTATGTAGTGACCAGTCGTCTGAATCTTGTCCAGAAGCCTGCTGCGGATACGACGCTGGCCGCGCTTCGTACGGACAAGATCGGCGGCGCTACTATGGCAGATGATAGCGCAGCCCGTGCACAGGTGCAGGCGTTCCCATGCGTGGAGAAAGTTTTCATCCGTCTGCAAGCCCGACATCTGAGACCTTCCAGCCTGCAGGTCTCGGTGCGGTCGATGCGGCCGGTGAGACTTTGAATACAGCTTAGCGCAGCAGAGTGAGCCTGCCTGCCCTCTGCGGCCCTGTCTGTGGCTCATGCACGGTCGCGCTTCTGCGGCTCGAAGCGCTGCGTGAAGGCGCGAAGACAGCTGGGTGTGCCGAAGTTGAGCGATGTCGATGATCAGCCCTCTCGGTGCAGCGGGTGTAACGACTTTGCGTGGCGTAGGAGTAGGAGCTGGCCTGATAGTAGAGGATGGGTAGAGAAGCCTAGGCGGGCTGTGTCTGTCGCACTGAGGAGTCGCCGGTAGCTCAACGGATGCCTCAATATCCCTATCCAGCGCCGGAGCCGTCTCTCGCAAGCTGTTGTAGCGAGATCGAGCGCCTGCGCGAAACACTGGTGGTTGAATGTGAGAGACACTGCTGACCACAAAAGGCCCTTAACGTCTTCCGACGAGTGGAGCCATGCACATCCAATGAGTAGCGGGCAAGGGTCGAGCCTGACTTCAGGTTGTTCAGTCCCGTGGTCCACATCTCGGAGAAGGACGTACTCAGAGCGCTCGCTCGTGCAGCGCATGTGTGCGTAGCGCTGAGTTGTTGTAGATCATAACCATCCATTCAGAGCACAGCCTAGATACGGTGATGCCGTTGGGGAGGAGAGGCAAAGGCCCAAGCACGCAGCATCGTTCTTCAGGATCGTGTCTCCTCGACCAAGGTCAGAGCTCTTCGAGAAAGCTTTGAGAGGGTCAGGACAGTTTGTCAGTCTCGGTTACGGTAGATTTGAGCTCACAATGTGCCCATTCGTCCATATAGAGGTGCCTTCGAGAAGCGAAGGTGCCCTCTTCCAGCACCAATCGCAACACGCAACACAAGAGCGAGAACTCACATGACACCAGTGCAGGGCTCAGTCAGGACCTGACATGCAGGAACACCCTCCTCCGATGCTGCTGGCTCACACAACCTGTGGCGCCGCACCTCCCTCGTTAGTCAAGCCGCACGCCCTAAGGCCCGCGCACCTTCCAAAGTCTTGGAGGCATCGCCTTCCGAGGGTAGAACGAGTGAGGTGTCCATTATAAGCATTGGTGGCCTGAAGCGCAAGCGAATTCGGTGGCTTTGCTTCGAGCTTGAAGGTGAAGGTGAAAGGGCCCGACCGTACAGCCAGAAAGGATCCCCTTACGCAGCGTAAAGCAGCTGTATCGAGTGGTAGTCTCCGCGGCGCCGTTGGCCAGCGGGTGAACAGCGCGCATAAAGAAGCCAAGGCGGCAGATCTGTAATCTGCTCTAGCGCCCCTTCTGAGCTGCAGTAGAAGACAGCCCGAGTGGAGTACATCTGAGCTTAGAGGCTGACGACGGCAGGTGAAGGGCAGTTCGAGTGAAGCCATATACAAGGCCGCATGACAGAAACGCAGGTCAGGGCATCGATAAGACGTCAAGCTTGAGTGATGGAAGTCGACAAATCTCAACAGGCCGATCTTGGTGTCGGCTGCTGTGCGGCGGTCAGTCGCGTCATCGCGTTGGCAAGCGCCAGGCAGGGCCGGGGCGTGAGGGCAGGTTCACGTCGAGGAGCGTCTGGTGCTGCGTCGAAACCGACCTCCGAAGATTCTGCGGCTCACGTGAAAGGCGACGCGAGCGCTGTCGATGCTGTTCACAGCTATGGTCTGCGCTATGCAGAGTGGAGAGCATGGTGTTCGGACCCGGCTGCGTTCGATACCCTTGCCGCTTCTGGACGGAGGTGGATGGATAAATGGATGGATCGGCGGGTGGAATGCTGTTGCCGTACAGGCCACACATAGCTCACTTCCATGCAAGAGCTGATGCACGTCCCACAATGCCCAAGCGCCAGGAGCCAGAGCTGCTCCAACTGCCGCCGAAGCTACTCTGCTGGTACCAAAAGCCAGTAGCTATTGGAGTCGGGGTGATGGAGAAGAAGGTGTTGCCTACGTCGGATCCACGCTCAGTACACACGATCTGCGCCAGGCGCCATGCATGCTTTCACGCGTCGGGCGGCTTTCCTGCGCCATTTCAGCTACCGGACGCGCATTGCCAGCACATGCGCTGCTGACTTCACGCGATTCCTTCGGATTTCCGCGGAAATAGACGCTGCGCGAGAGAAAATTCCCAAGCTCGCGCGCGCCATATGGTTGAGGGCTGCATATGTGCTGCCACATGCAGCGCGCGAGTCACGATGAGTGCAAGTTGCCCCTCTGCACGCGCTTTAGCCCCGAGGTATAGCTGCTGCGATATGCAGGCTAAGGCGGGTCCTTGTCTGCCTCGAGCGCAAAGCACTCGTTTGGTCTTCTGGTCGATCACCACCCCTGCTACAGCAGATGCTCCTACTCGCAGCTTTCCGCTTGTAGCCGAGATCAGCATTGCTTCCATCTGCAGGCCTAATCAGCAGACTAGCTCGCATGAAGGTGCAGAGCATGCGGGAACAGAGCACCTCTTAGTGCGCTGGATGCGCTATCTCTGGCTCCGCTCTCGGTCCTGCGATCTGCGGCGATTGCAGGTACGTCGCCTTAGGCTTTCTGTGTCTGCCCCTGCCTTCTTACCAGCTCGCCATCCCTACTCCAGTCTTGAAGATTAGCATGAGGCTCGTCGCGGACTTGCCGAATCCTTGCAATCAACGTCCGCGCCATTTGACTGTCTTCGCCTCCTGCCATCCAGCACAGCTCGCCGGTACCTTCGTCTCATCGCTACAACATCGTCAATTGGGGTTCCATGGAGCTTTGCGACGTGAATCGAGGGCAGCGCCGACAATCAGTCGGCCTGCACCGAAGGAAGAGTGTGGCCTCGAATTGACTTGCCGAAGCTGCATGGGGCAGCGCGCACGTTCACGGTCTCCTACAGACCAACGAGATGTAGCGGTCACCTTCGCCTGAGAGAACCGCGGCCGAGCTGTCACAGCACCTCTTGCGTAGCATCTTCTCACATTCATCGGGTTCACTTCAACTGCGAGCAGTCACTTACAGCAGCCGGCGTCCACAAGCACTACTTGGGCGACAATCCGCCTATCCCTCTGTCTCCGAGCTCGCTTCGATGCTGGGCAGGGTGCACATGCATCTCGGTGCTGCAACAGAGAGCACAATTCGCGCACAGCGAACGCTGCAAGAATCGAACTCGTCGCGCAGGAGGCGGTAGCCGATCTCGAGGACAAGGAGTATGTCGGCTCATCAACCAGTGACCAACACCGGAATATCAAGCGATTTGCAAGCAACGTCAGCGCAAGCGCCAACGCAGAGGCCCATGCTAGTATCAGAGATATCGCTGTGACTTAAGCCGAAATGAGAGCTCCTCGGCTATGCAGCATCAAGTTGTGAAGCGGGCATGCACACGACGCTTCGCTGAGATTTGAGGTGCGCCAAAGGCCCAGATACTCATACGTCGGCTGGACGCTTGGGTGGCCGAAGCTCGACTCGATTCGGTCAGAGAACAAACACGACACGTAGAGTGTAGTCAGGTCCGTACAGAAGCAGGATCTCTAATCGGTCAGGACTGGAGGCATAGATGGAATGTAGGGTGGAGTCAGGGCCGTGCAGAAGCAGACGAGAACGAGCACGGCGAGGAGGTGGTATGTGGAAGCCAGGCTGCTTTCAGGAGCTAGGTGAGCTGCTTGACATTGGTCCCGCCACGAAATACCTTGCAGCATATCGACATTTTGCTGAAGCCTTTCCAGTCTGTGCTCCGTAGGCGACTATGCTCAGCCTTGGTGGATGTCCTGGAAGCTGCAGGGATCGGCCAAGTTTCGAGTCCAATAGTGACCAGCGTGGAGCCATCATCAGCAAATCATCATGATGCACCGGATCTGTGCTCTGAGCTCGCATCGATGGCTCCCTATGGCTGCTAGCGGGCGTCTTTTGCGGCTCTCTGCTGCAGCCAACCAGTCTGTATGCTGCCTCATCCTGCGAGCTTAAACATATCACATCATCCGCCAGACCCGACGTCGGTTTCTGGTCCTAAAATCTGATCATCAAACAAAAGACGCAACTGTTCCCACCCATTCAGCCTCGATCTCGACGCGATGCTGGCACGAAGCGACGAGTCCTGCAAAGACTCGAGCATCGATCAGCTTGGTGCCTGGCTTACAGCTTCACTCGGCTTCTTTTTCGGTGCTGCCATATCCCATCCAGGGCTCGTGACGAAGTCTAGAGCCAAACTCACCTTCACGTCGACTTCAGAGCTCATTTGGCAGGGGCACGTTGCAATTTGCGCTACAAGCTGATGGCAAACTTGGGCCAGCAGTGCTGTCCTTGCTCGAGATAGAGTCAGAACCGTCTCTGCCTGCCGCACGATGCAGTATCGAGCGGTCCACGACATCCTCAGCGGCAAACGCCAATCCCCATCAGCACCCAGCACCCGGCCTCATCGCGCTCTTCCATGCTGACGAAACTTGAATACAGTTGGGCTATCGATGTACGTGCCATGGGTATCTACTGGCAGAAGTCAATCTGCGTTTGGAGCGAATGCGCTTACATGCGCAAGCCGTAGGAGCGATCTGCGCCACTCTCGCCCCGCCATGGATTGATTGCCCTTTGCACAAGAAAATCGTGTGAGGTTGCTGGTCACAGAGAGCAACCGCCCGATACCATTACGTCAAGGATCGTGGGACGAGCCGTCAGCGCTTTCGATGCCTTGGTATTTCGTGCTTGCGCTGGCGCATTCTATCATCATCGGAAGGTAGGAGGGGGCAAGGCTTCGCGAGGGTCGTTCTCGAAACAGGGATTATGGCACAAGACCACACAACTGAAGGAGGTGAGCAGAGACAGAGGGTAGTCGGTTCGCAAACGGTTGCGCCGCGTCCAGAGGCAACGCTGTTGGAGAAGAGGTCGAGTCTTGCGTTGTAGAGCAATGGTGTCGGTTCCCATCGTCAGTAGCGCTTTGCCCTGATAAAGCTGTAGAAGAGCGTGGGTCTGCTCAAGAGGCAGGATTCGGCCGAGTGTGCCTGGAAGTCAGAGTCGGCTGACATCTGGCCGGATCATGTCCTCTGATCGCTACAGGTCTAGATCTTTGCCTCTGCCAGCTTCAAGACGCGACCAACATCGTCCAGTGTCATGGTTGCGTTTAAGAGCTTACCTAGGGGGCCGTGTGCAAGTCGTCCACGAAGAGCAGCAGAGCGGCAGCGTGCGGTCACTAATTCAACGGCCTCGGGCGCTTCGGTACGTTCGCCGTTCCTACGGTCTCCGATGAGCACGCGCTCCAGTGCTGCATGGCTTGCCGCAGTGACTCGTCCGGGCTCTCGAGCAATTCACGCCCGCACGATGGAGACAAGGAGTCGACGATTCGTTGCTTGGGTTGTAGAAATACAGTCTACGCTTTGACCTCTAATAATGTCGTGCTCTGGTGGAAAAAACAGCACAGTGTGAGCTCGACTTGACGAAGTTGACGTTGACGTTGACGTCAGTGGCTGCGACTACGTACCTCGTCCAGCGAAGCCAGCCAGGGGGAATGGAGTAATCCTCCTCCTCCACCGGGGGCCAGTTTGGAGGTGCGGCGCCCGTATTACTTTCTCCCTCCTCCACATGCTCTCCCTCCTTGTGGATCCCGAGCCCGACGACACCAGGGGCGGCGCCAAAGTTCGGAGTGATGGGCGCATCGCTCTCCGTGTCATCTGCGTCTCAAAGGTTGTGCATGTCAGTGACAAGGTAACACGCTATTGCTGACGGCCTATATGACTCACTCTGGCTTCCCACATCATCACCTAGCTGGGAGACTTCTGCGTTCTGCCCAGCTTGATCACTCCCTTGGTCACGCTCGACCTCCTCGTGTACCTCCTCCTCCTCCTCTCCCTCATCCTGCTCCTCCTCCTCCTCCCCCTCATCCGTCTCTTCCTCGCTTTCTTCGTCTGTTCCAGCATCTTCCCCATCCTTTCCACCGTCTTCCCCATCATGCGACCCGCTGCTCTTGTTCCCACCCTTGATCCGCGCTGGCTCGCCATCGAGCTCGGCTTGAGCATTGGACAAGATTGCCTCGCCCCAGCACATGAATTGCTCATGATCGTGCCTATCCCACCATTCCTCTGACAAGAACTCCACACTTGCTACCTCTGCATCCTTTTGCTTCTGATGAGGGCGCGCGCTTCTGCCTGGCGACTCGGGGCTTTCGAGAGGTCGCTTGCGCGATAAGTTGTCTTCAGATTGGCTATACATGGTCTGTTCGAAAGCGAAACGGGGAGGTAAAGTCAGTCGTGAGGCGTACGAAAGGACAGATGTGGCAAGCACTGACTTGAGAGAACTTGATGAGAGCCAACTGATTCGTGCTTGTGTCGAGTATGCTGAGCTGCTGAAGCTGAAGCTGAGCTTGCTTCGATGGGACTCGAGATGCTGGGAGAGGGAAGCGCAACAGTCAAAAGTGACGTCGCGGGGAAGCACAAAGGGGTTGGGCATCGACTTTGGAGAACTCCATGTGAGGAAGGGCAAAAGTTAAATATCCGAAGCGGAGGAGGCGAGGGGGGGGAAGGTGGTCCGAGCGAGGCTCGCGAGTGGGGTGGGAAAGCATTCCTGCATGCACCTTGACCGTTGAGCATCGTGCTTCTGGTAACAAGGCAGGCATCTCGCTGAGGCGCAGTCAGAGCCAATTGGCCTGACAGCAGGGACTCGAGGTCATCTGGCGCATACAAGCCTGCGGAGATAGGTGAAGCAGCCATGCATGGTGAGGCAGTAGGAGCCAGAGGCGGGTAGGACGAGCGGCCAACCCTTCGAAAAGATGCACCTGTGGTAGCGGCAGTGCGGGCTCGAAGCTAACGATGCTTGCGATTGAACTCATGACAGCGATCGAGGTGGATGAGTGTAGCGCACAACCAGGACGACCAATACCGCTCAACGGATCGAGTCGTTGAGAATTGAATGCAGGGAGGCGCGCGGACGCGCCACGCCTCGAGCCCGCTCTCTCATCTTTCCACCAGCGCGCGAGGCAACTCGCACTTGTGCCGCGTATCTCACCGCCATACCTGCGGCGCGCGCCATTCTGAACGTTACGACCCTGCAGCGCTCGATCACAACTGTGGGCTCAGCTTGAGAGGTGGGCATAAGTTCGAGCGGAAGTTTGACTTGCTCATCAATCTTGAATCGTGAATGTTGCACTGGAACATAGATGCGAGCTTTGCTTTGCTTGCACCCGGCTGTCCGAACCTACAGCTTCGTTGCAAAATGGCATCTCGAGAGCAAGAGCCTGAATAAGCTGATTTGATGCTGCAGCAGTCTCGTGTCCGTTGACGAAAACAAAGGTCAAACGTGGGTGCAGAATCACGAATCAGAATGGTGCTAAGCACGCGTGCGCAACACGGCCGGTATGTACGCTTCGAGGAGGTGCAGCCGACCGCACCCTCGCGCCTCGTCTCCTTCGCGTCCTGGCGGCACGCGAGTCTCGAGCTATAGCGACCACCGAGCAACAGCTTTTGGTCGTAAGTCAACATTCAACAGTCGTGAATCAAGTCTCCAATGATGAATTGTTGATCTTCATTGTCGAATCACCTCGAATGTGAATCTTGAATCAGAACAGATTCGGAAATGTGAATGTGAATGTGAATGTGAATGTGAATGTGAATCTGGGATCAAAGATAAGGAATTGTTACAATGATTGCGATTCTTTCATTCGTGACTGGGGAGCCGAGAGACAGAAGAAGGAGAGATCAGAAGATGAAGACCTTCCAAGGTGACACACGAGTGACTGCAAATCATTCACGTAATTTACCATTTCAAAGGTGATCGATGCAGTTCACAACAGAAAAGTAGACCTCGGCCTCGACAAGGTCAAATGCATGGTCTGCACTCCGTGACAACAAGCCGTAAGACCATCTGATGATGCGGAAGCCAGGACCTCACATCACACAGCGCTCACATCGTGCGGTGTACTGATTCATGCCTATTTGTCAATCTTGAATCTACAATTCTCGATGCTGCGGGGCTGCTCCAGCGTCTGCGCTCTAGTCTCTTGACTTGCAATCGAGCTCGAACAGTCGTGAGTCACGAGTGACGTGAGGAAGAGACCTCGTAGGCTTGGTTGGTCTCATCCTTTGCTCTCTCTTCTCACTTGCCTTCCGCCGCTGCGAGTAATTCTTGGCTCAGAAAGAAACACGTGATTCCACCATAGTCTGCCTCATGCCTCCACATCCGTGCAATTCACGATTGACATGTTGAACTTCGTAAATTGACGCGTGAAACGCGCCTTGAGCACAAGCGACTCTACGCGTCAGTGCTAATTTGAATTTCATGCGCAGGCCACGCGATGCATGCACCTCTGACGCGCACAGAGCGAGCTTCTTTGGGCGCGCGACCTTTGAACTCCATCATCACTTCTCGGCCGTTTGCCTTCGAATGCAAATCACAGCATCGGAAAAGTTGCCGCTCTGTCTCTCCGAAAAGATGAGGAGCTTTTGCCATCGTTCACATTTTGCACCTTGCGATGCAAAGCTTGCCCAGAAAGTATGATGCACTTCGAGCTCTAGTGCCTTCGGCGCCGGCACACATGCTGCGCCTGCACACAGCTTTTCCACCTCCCTATCCACCACATCGCTTGAGGCAGAAACGATTTTTGCTGAACTTCCACAGAAAGAGCCCGCTTTTCACAAATGCTGGCCATCTCAACAGACAACGGCCAGTGTCCGCAGGCAACGTGTGCCCTTCTCGTCGGACACGGCCCATGTATGCGCCTCGCTGCTTCTACACTCTCCCAACGTTCGCTGGGAGCTCGCAGACACCTTGCTCTCTTTGCTCAATAGTAGCTTTCAAGTCAGACCATCCGCTACAGGTTCTCTGCACTCTGCTCTACTCTATTCCGCGGTTGACTTCGTAGGATCCGGTCGGGGCTTACATGCAGCTGGGACCTGGGCGCCGGCATCGATGAACCGCCTCACCAGTCACCAGCTTGCGAACGCACGCCATGCTTGTCAAAGGTCCGCCTCGGCCACATCGGTCTAGACCTTTGGACACACAATTGCAGCTCTCTCGTGTCTCGGCAACGCTTGGCAAATGCAGCAGCCGACATCCAACGCCAGGCACACAAAAGTCAGTCTGGCACTCCTGAGGACGTGCACATGTCCGCGAACCTCGGTTTTGACGGCTGACACAGCCTCTTTTCTCATTTTTGCAGCCCAGATACGTTAGCGCGACCTCACGAATGACACATTGCGAGCGCAGCGGGCCAGGGCCAGTCGTCGGCTATATCCGCCCGCCACGAAGCGAGGATCGCGGTCAATCGTCGGCGTCATCTGCACCTGAGTCAATCGTCGGCCAGGCTTCCTCGGAGCGCTTTACGCAGGCAGGAATCCCACGAAAAGTCCTCGACAAACCCATATCTGGCTCAAAGGATGGCCGCGGCTTGGTCCGACGTGCGGTCGGTCACGAAGTCTCGCTTGCAGTCACCCCGATCTCGTTCTGCTCGGTTGCGTCTCTGGGAGGTTGAGCCTTGTCTACTCAGGTCCCAATGCTTTGCGAGGCGCGAGCGTCAGGCGTCGCGAGCCAAACTACGAGCCCTAATGCCCTGCGCGAAGCGCTGTGAGAAAGTAGAACGACAGCGGAACGCTTCAGTCTTGGTAAGTCGCTGTGATCAGTGACACCGGCGCACTCTGCGCTGTCATGCAGACAATTTGTGCTGATAGTCGCTGACCTAGCTTTCCTGTCCGCACCGGTACTCTTCAGACAGCGATGCTCGCTTTACGTCAGGCTGCAGAGCGCACACTAGCTTCCTCCGCTATAACATACATAGAGCACGATCCTGCTCTCAGCTGCCCGCACGCGAGTAGTCCTCTGCGCTGCCAGCACGCCATCGACCCATGCGTCTGCTCGACTCGACTCTCGTTCAACGACCGATGAAGCTGGCCTAAGGGCATCACTCCTCACCATGTACGCACCGATTTCCGAACCGTTTCGTGGCTGAATAGGCGCGCTGCGGAAGAGCTGGTGATAATTGTGACGCAGCCTCGTCACTGTGCGTCGCGGAAGCGGGCAGCGCCCATTTGCTCGACGCCTATGGCGCTTTTTTCCGCCTCAGACCATCAGGACGTTCGCGGTCGGTCGTCCATTCGGACCGCGCACCAGAGAAGCAGAACACGATACGCCCACAATCGCAACGCCGTCGGTCGAAAACAGTTTAGGTCGATGTGCCGATACAGCAAGAGCTCAACCTTTCCTCGCCATCGGTCAGCACCCCCCGGAATACTCGGGTGAAATGCCCTTGCTGCAGCTCATCTCGTGCTTGCACTGCCACAGCGGATCGACTGGCTACGCTCGCTGCGTGCTCAGCAGCGCATGAGCCCACCCAGTCAGTCTCCTAGACTCGAGGCCATCGAAGACGGCAGAAAGAAAGCTGATGCTCTAAGTTGAGACTCGCGTACTCCATCTGGCCATGCGAGCCTGTCGCGGTTGGAGCCAGCCGGCTTGGACATCAAAACGGATAGAGCGGACTTCCTCAACGCGAGTTGTCGCGGTAGGACTTCGCTCAATTACGCGCAGCTCGAAAAGCCCTTGAAGGGGATGGTTTGCAAGGGAGCTGAAAGCATAGGGAGGCGGAGATAGAGTCGACTCTCTCCGAAGAACAGCGAGCGGGCAGAGAGGGGCGGCAAGGCAGAAAGAAGGGATCGAGATGGATGTTTGACTTGTTCAGTGAGTGCTAGCTGCAGGCGACGCGGGCAGGATCGAGCAGGACGCCTGCCCTAGATACCGGTGCTTTTGGTCATGCCCAGCACACTGGTCAATTTACGAAATTGAAGTCGGATCGTACCGTGCCCAGCCTTTTGTTCGCAGTGTTTTGTTGCAACATCCAGACCACTTCCAAGCCGCACGCAGCGCTAAAAGCCTGCTCGAACTTGAGCGCTCACTTTGGGCAGGCGATTGTCATGCCTCGTGCCACGGGCTATGGTCAATATCGCTATGATTCCGAAACACGACCACGGCAAAGCAAGCGCAGCGACTCGCAGATGCGCCAGCTCGACGCTCGTGCATTGGTGCAGGCGACAGCAGGGAACCTAGTCGAGCACAGCTGCGAGGAACAGAGCCCGCTTCTTCTCGCTAGTCTACCCAACCTCTCCGAATGCCACAGCCCATGGTCGGACAACTTTTCTTCGCAATGTCCTGCAATGCTGCGTCACGTGTCTGCGCCTCGCGAAGCGCGATGCTCGTGGCTTCGAAGCGACAATACCAGGACGACACAGGGGGCACGGTGCGGCAGCTTCGGAAATTATCTCGGAGCAAGCCAAATCAAATGGAAGTCTGAGGTGTCGCCGCTTCTTGAGGATGGAGCGCAGGAGACTCCAGGTCGTCAAGCCCCTACCTGAAAGCCGATGTGGTGCGTATCGGACGGCACATAGAAGGAGGGCCGAGGCAGTCGCGGAACGACAAGCTTACAAGGGGCAATTTGCTGACCCTTCCCGACGTCCGCATCGTCTAACCATCTAGTCAAGCTTGCTCGCCTGGGTATACAGACGGAGATCGCACAGTGACATTCAAGAACTGCAGATATGCAGGCCTGGCGTCCGCTGTCAGCCTCTGCAAACGGCAGTTTTCGTTGTGTCGAACATCCAGGGTCTTGAGAACATGGCGAGGAGATGTTACACCCTTCGAGTGCGATCGTCGCATCTTGTTTCGATGCTCAGTGCCTCTCCGGTACGCTCCATGAAAAGCGGAGCTCTACATGTCAGGTTCCACGAGATTGCGCTCAGAAACGACGCAGTGCTACATCTTGAGTAAAATGAATAACTTGCTCAACGTCTGAATGTCATCTGCCTACACTTGCACGGGATCTCGATTTCTCCAGTGCGTCTGTAAGGCTTAAGTGAGGCTCGCGAGGACATTTCTTCCACCGCGCAGATCTTCCTCCGAAGCGTTAGGGTAATATGATGGTGGTCGAGGAATCATGCGGCCAGCTGAACAGCCAGGTGCCGTTGGAAGCACAATTTGGATTTGGAGGGGCTGCGGAGAGCCAAGAGATTTCCATCTTCATCAGTCACGCCGATCTTGCCGGCCGAAGTACGCATTTTGCTCACTCACGGCACTGCCGGTTCTAGGTATGCTTAGAAGCCACACGAACGGGCCAGAGCTCATGTGTCAGCTCCCTATCGCATTGTTCCGCCAGTGAATGTAGACTATGAATGCGAATGCAGAGGGAAAGGGCTGAGCAGGCTGCCGATGCGCATCGTTGCCCTCGCTGGCCGTCATCTCGAACGAGAGCTACTCACTCAGATCGTCGGCGATTGCCAACTTGGCTGTGTTGGTCGCTGTCGTGCACGCGCTCTCTAGCCTTAAATACCAATTGGCTCATTCGGAAGCTCATCCTCTTCCTCTTCCATTTCATGATCCTGTTCCTCGTCTCCTTCCTCTACTTTTACACCCTGTTCCTCGTGCCCTTCCTCTACTTTTACCAACGTGTCACCATTGATCGTGCGCTGAGCGTCCGAAGTAGCGATGCACGTCTATCGAGAGTCGACACAGAGCAGGCGAGGTGAGCGAGGTCGCACTAAGCTGTCTAAGTGCCCTGTTCTCACCTCCAGTCGCGCATTCTCCTCGTTTAGAGCCACTATCACTCGTTTCAGCTTCCCCTCTTGCGCCTCGGAGGACTGGTGAAGCGCTCGGTGCGCTTTGCGAGTGTTCTCGTGGGTCTCCGCGAGCTGCCTGGCGAGGATTCCTGGCAGCAAGCCAGTCTTGACCGCAGCTTTTACGTTTTTTGCATGGTTGTCGAAAGAGTTGTCCCACTTGTGCTTGTTTTTGTGCGGCATGACTTCGACGGGAGGCGGAGACGAGGCGCGAAAAGATGCGTGAAGTGGTGCGAAGAAGTCACTGCAGTAAGAGTGTCGACCCGCACGTGAGACTTTGTTGCAAGCAGTTAGAGTTCGGACCAATACGTGAGACTCTGTTGACTTACGTGAGAATGGAGGACCCAAACGTAGACTTTTGTGAGCGAGACGAATGTTCAGAGCAAAGGTGGCGATGAGCTGGAGATGTCGCATAGAAGTCTCGTCGCGCATGCTGGCGCATTCACTTGACGCTGGCGAGAGCGAGGGCACAGTGTGAGTCCCAGTCACGCCCACTCAGAGACGTGATGCTTGTCCATGCTGGCTCCGATACGCGCGTGCGGACCTGCGCTGACCTGGCATCGGGCGCGCTCAGATGCGCATGTTTTAGCGCGGAACGAAGGAGAGCTGCTGAGCTTAAGAGCCACGCTGATGCGTGACGCACGCGTGTGCTCACGTGGTACCTGCACGCATCAGCGTCAGAGCTCCGGGATGCGTCAGAGCTCCGGGACCTTGGTCGAAGCGGCATCAGCTCGGCAGATGCATGCCTTCTGACTGAGATCACGAATAAACTTAAGAACCTAGGCTGACATACAAACTTGAACGTTTGGTTCAGTGATACGTGACCGGAAGGTGAGCGCAAGGAATGAATGAGTCATGAGTAACAGTCGCGGCTCAGGCCAGGCACGTCTGAGAAGCTAAGTCAATTTAAATCATCAAGCGAATTTGTATATGACACATACTCAGCGCTGGCTCGATGAGCTGCCCGGCCACATCGGACCGACTCAATTAAGCTGCTTGCAACTCCCGATCTGAAATTGAGCAATTTACGTGGGGGCGCAAGATTCCGAAATCCTCACGCCGCACTCACGACCTCCCAATCTTGAGCCCTAAAGTCGGTCTGGATCGCTGGGTCGCAACGCTTCAATTCTATGTAAACTTTGTTCCAGCTTCAAAGGGCAGATGAGGAGGGATGTTCGGTCTTCGCGACAGCGAACATGCTAGCGCGCACACTTCATCACTGCGACTCACGGCTGGCAAGTTGTCGGATAGCTGGGCGAGCACGCGCTCGCTCAGGTGCTCGTCTTGCTTGCTGAAATTCTATCCTAGACGCGCGGCTGTGATCGGATTAGCCTCGAACCCCTGACATGAGGCTGTGATCGGATTAGCCTGACACCCTCTCGAAATCGGTGAGTAGGCGAACGTGCATGAGCAAGGTTGGACTTCAACATTCCCACTTCTGAGACAAGGTACTCGTGACTTCCCTCATGATTTGTACATTCAAGATATTTGCTGTTGCGTGCTCCAGCACTCACGACTGCTGAAGTGCAGGATCCGATGTGGCTCATTCAGAGATTCAGATCCTGTTTGTGACCGATGCCCACTCAGACTGACGATTCTTACAGGCAGCTGACCAGTGTGTATCAGACGCCACAGTGCGTTCATTTGTGTTGTGGCTGAATCAGGGCCTCAAATGCGCAGCAGTTGACATTGACGTAATTTCTCTGCGTGCCGCGCCGACTCGATCATCGGCATGCCATTTAATTTCGCCGCCTCCATCATGCGGTAGCGTCCGTGCACTCTCATTATCGTGTCCGCTGCAGCTACACGTCCTTATGCAAGGTCTGAGCAGCTCAACTGAACGATGTAAGATGATCACTTTTACAGAGAAAACAGAGGCGCACCGCATTCTGCCGTGTTTTCCAGGTCTAATGTACGCCGTCACTCTCGATGGCTCGAATATGGTCTGGGCTATATGATATGATGCAGAGATTCATTGACATTCCTGTTTACAAACGCTGATGGAGAAATCAAGAGTGTGAAGTGGTGTGAGTGGCTATAGAATGCGGGATCTCCGCAACCCGCCGCGCGCCCGCAGCGCTCGCGCAGCCTATGGCAGAGTCCCGGCGACTTTTAGACGCCGGCGGCTGCGCGAATAGCATGTCAGTCTCGCAGCTGCACCTGGCCAGTGGTTATATTCTCCAATACGCCGAAAAGCAGTGGGCGGAAGACACACAAGGCTTCGGCACTTCTGAAACACTGGCGGTTGCGCGGATATAGCCCGACAGCTAGAGTCCGTATACAGCTGCGAAGGTGTCTGAGGTCTTGCTCACACAAGCAAGAGCAGCGGCAATCTTTCGTTGGTATCAAGATTGAGACTACCTGTTTGCATGCACTCGTGACTTATCCGCATTTTGAATCGACTAAACGCCATTCGTGATTAAGGAATGTCCCACCAGTGTGTAAGCAGGCGCCTCGAAGAGGACCCCGCATCCAGGTTCAAATTCACGTGGTTGAGCATTGCTATCGGCTCCGAACTTTGGAGGAGGGCATCGGAGATTAAAAAGCGAGCACAACAGGCATGAGCGAGTTGCGCTTGATCATTCATCGATGCGTTCAGAGTATGAATGGTGGAGTACGTGCTTCGCACCCGCACGAACGAAAGCTGCGCTCTCGAAGAAGGCTTGCCGAGACGTACAAGCGGCATGAAGGTGACGTCGAACGAGGCGCACGCTTCTCTGAGAGCTCGACTATGTCAACCATAATCCTCCGCTCAAAGCTGCCAAATGTGACATTTCGAACGCACAAGGTTGCAAGGGGCTCCTGACTTGACCATGCGTAATCAACGAAACTTCGTACAACGCAACCGATACCAAAACTGAAGCTTCCTTTGCGGAGATCAAAAATCTCCAAATTTCTGATTTCACGCATGCTAACCGATCTTTTCAGGAGCAGCTGAGCCCAGATTTGTGGCTTTCCTGCGAAGCATTCTAGGAGGAAGGCAAAGGGGTGTAGCCCGCAAAGGTTCTTGGAGGCTCGGAGAATCTGCAAGCGCCGATGGCATGACAGACACTTTGTTGAAGCCATAAAACAAGTCGTATGCCTTTAAAGTTCGGACTGGTCCTGCAAAGTACTTGAGTGACAAATTCAGACATATCGGACATAAGAGGATTTGTATCCGTAGACTTTCGGATTTGTGCTACGGAGATCTTCACGATGAGACCGGGCGGCCAGGGACAGAACATCGGCGACGGGTCTCAGTCGAAGCTTCTCGTCGTCACGGACAAACCTGCAGACCCACAGACAGCTAGTATTTTACCGCCTTAGGCTCACCGGATGCTAGGAAGTCGGGCTAGCGACAGCATCAATCAAGGTCTACCAAAGCACTATGTATCAATTTTTCCGGAAGCTGGCCATCGATTTCGCGGAGGTTTGGCCGTGTGCGCACTAGCTAGCGAACTTCAACAGCACACAGAATGCACCTCTTGCCGCTCTGCTTTGACAGGAAATGTGCTAACGCGGAGGACATTCACTGACTGAATTCATGACTGTAGATTGATTCTTGCTTGCCTAGGTATTGTACTTGACATGGTCAGACTGGTATCACTACAACATTCAGCTTTAGAGGCTGCCCATCGGAGTGTGCGAACCAGGTGTGCTCCGCGCCTGCACTGCGAGACGCGTATGCAGTTATATACCGCGTGCATACTGTCCATTGCATATTCAGAGCCTGGCTAGGTGGCGGAGACGTTACCGGGTCAGTGCGTTCCTGGGCTGTCTTCCCCGATCAGTGCAAGTTCGAACCCGCGGTTCGAAGGAGGCTGGTTGGCAAAGTGACAGTTTTGCATTTTTTTTTTTTTTTTTTTTTTTTTTTTTTTTTTTTTTTTTTTTTTTTTTTAGTTTTTGGGCTCGGGCGTGACTCGCATCCGTTATTGCTTCTCGTTGCACAGCGCTGGATGTGTACTCCATGTTGGGCGCTGGTCGTCATATCACTTTCAACATGCTTTCCATGATCGCATGATCTTTGTTCTTGTCCACTCATTTGTACCTTCGACGAAAGTTTCCGTGGAATGCGCTGGGAAGGCGGTGCCAAGCTCATGCTTGCTTCCGCTCCCACAATGAGACTTCGGAAGTGCAAAGGCCATACTCACGGTCTCTACGGAAGGGCTACATTGATTCTATTCAGGCCCGTCTCAGGAGATGCGAACGAGTCTTTGCACAAATAAAGGAGAGGTATCTCCAGAAGTCCCCAACGGTATGACGGTGCAAACAGTCTTGGAGTCTCGAGTCAAAAGTCTCGAGTCGCCCAGCTGTGTCTCAGTTATTCACGTGTGTGATAATGCATGCGCGTGCGTGGCGCGTAATCATATGAGCCTTCAGGCAGCGTTTCTTGATTCGCCCCGTAATCAGCAAGGCTTTGGAGCAGTCACCAGTCACGTGTATGGGTGAATCAGGCTTGCGGCGGCTATAGCTCCATCAATCTTCCGACTCGCACGGCCAAGCGGTGTGGCACCAGCTAAACGCAACTGCCTCATCTCTTGTCGCTACTCGAGACTTTGGTCAAGCGAACGAACGACTTACACTCACGACTTTGACCGCAAAGCACACCTCACTACGAGAACTTCTGCGCCCTGGTCTTTGGAGTGGCTTCAATAGGCGGTGCGAGCTCATTGATATGATTAAACAGTTGTGAGTATATATGTGTGTATTGCTGTCTTGTCCGATGCCAGGACTTCCGAAGACCGATCGAAAAGTCTCGATGTGATGATAGAACATATGCGCTCTTGGCGTGCTTGTCGTGGGAATCTGATGTTGATGGACCAGTAGAGACGTCTTCGCAAGGCAGTGAAACCAGGACGGGCTACACGTCAGCAGGACGCTAGAAGAACGCCGGCTCAGTCCTCGTGCTGACTCACTGCCTGTACCCATCGCTCTCCATCAATCAAACATGGATTCGTGGTCTCCCGTGATCGTCGCGTCTGTCATTTCGTCATCAGCGTCCGAGCCACGTGAAGACGAGCATCCGTCCTCCCCGAGCTCATCTACCTCCGTATCCGATGCGAGCTCATCCTCCATGAGCTCGTCTTTCTCCTCATCTTCGTCTTTGACTGAGACTTCGTCTTTCACCTGGACTTCCTCCATCTCGGGTGACGGCCTGTCCTCCTGCTTGACTTGCGCACCGATGTCATGTCCTTCCAGAAGCGCCTGCGAAAGAGATTCCCGTAAGCAGAGATCGATCATCTCAGCTGCTGCTGAGGGAGCTTGACGTACTTTGAGCCTGGCGATCTCTGCATCGCGTGCTCGGATGGCCTCATCCTGGTGGTTTGGAACAGTCAGAACGATGTAGACAGCGCGCGTGAGTATGGGCCGATCATCTTGGCTGCTGCTATGGAATGGGAGACGTACCTTAAGACTGCTGATCTCAGCATCGCGTGCTCGGATGACTTGGTCTTGATGGTGCATTTCCTGAGTGAGAGAGGATGCGCGCATCAGCACAAGACGTCTAAGTCACTTCTTATAGCCATTGCTTGCTCGGAAAGAGAATCGCACGTACTTTGAGCGCGGCGATCTCCGCATCGCGTCTGGCTATCTCCGCCTCGCGAGCTCGGAGAGTCTCATTGCTTTGATCGCGTTCGGCAATCAGAGCAGCTGCATTCTGACTGAAGTCGTTGCAGCGCTTTGCGACAGCCAGATGATCGGCGCGTGCCTCCGTGTACTGGCTCAGGAGCTCAGACCTGTTGACATTGGTGATGTGCGAGCTGGAATTGATGGTGCGAACTGTGTAGTCGAGCGCAGTCCAGGCGGGACCAAGAGACTTCTTTACTTTTGGCATCTTTGCTGAAGCAGCGTTGGAGAAATGACGAGGGGCTAGACGCGGGAAGAGTGTCTGGCTTGAAGTCAAGACGAGAGCAGATCTGGGTCCCGAATGGTGAGTGAGCTAATTGGACTCGAAGCACTCCAGCGTTTGTTCCACTCAGTGACTTCGCGCGAGGATCGTCATGCAGGCAAGATTGACAGTCGACGCGCTGTCGACGCCCGGAGCGCCTCCACCCAACAACCAAGAACAACACCTGCTTGCTGGTACGCGCGCTCGCCGCTGTCCACGCTCTCGTGCGAGAGCAACAACATGGTGTCTCGACACAATCAGAATTACGAATGCTCATTGTGAATGCGCTGACTGCTCAGCTGCTGAAGTTTGACCTACTAGGCACCCAGTCAGTCAAAGGACGTTGAATGCTGATGCACATCTCACGACTCTAGGCAGCGCCTCAGCCATACGTGCATTGGCACGTGCACGTGTACTGCCATCACTCGTGACTGTCAAAGCGCGCTCGACCAATCAGTGAGTCTTGAGTCTTGATGAGCCTTGATCGAAACTCAAATCTGTGATGAAGTGATTACGCTCCTGACTGCTTGGTTTTGATCACGGCAGAAGCTCGCGCGCACGACTCTCGCTTCACACTCTCCACAACTCCCTCCCCCGTCTACTGTCGCACTTGCGTATCAACTCAAGACTTTTCAACCAGGTGAGCATCGGTGCCTGTCTTTCTCGGGCTACAAATGTCTCCAGCACTCACTCTTAAAGCACTCGCTTCCCTTCTTTCCTCCGTAGCTACGTACTCAGTATCTTCCACGATGAGCAACTCACCTCAAGAGAGCTGGCGTGCCGCGCTCCAGCACAATGTAGACGTCATAATCAAGGTGTCTGGCTTGAATGTTCTACCGCACGAGGTCGAGGCAGAGCTGGAGGACGCGCATGAGAGGCTTCGCGAGGCTGGAAAGGGTATGGCGCGGGCCCTTGAGACCATCGAGGCTTGCGAAGCTCAGGCCCAGAGTATGAAGAATCAGGAGGAAATGGTGCGAACCCAAGCGGCAGAAATCAAGCGCTTGAATGTGAGTCTCTATTCGTTTGTATCAAGTTAGTCCACTTCTCTGACCGCTGTCATGTGTTGCAGGCCATCATCGACGCCCTGCTCGCGGGCCGAGCCGCAGAGGGAGCAGACAAGCAAGCTGATCGTTGAATGTCGGATCGCTTTGAGTAGATAAAGCCGGAAAGACCGAGGGTCATATCTGCAGGTAAGTAGGCGCAAGAGCTAATGTGGTCTGCGGTGGAGGGTCCAGCTGAATGCGAGAAGACCAAGGGTCAGCCTCCCTTTCCTGTCTGTCGAAGCTTCGCCACAATTCATCAGACTCGACTGCTCCTCAATGTCGCGCACTCTCAAAGCCTGTCTCGGCACGACATCACCCACCTTCACATCATCAAGGTGTGGAATCAAGGCGGATTTGCCTGTCGTGAGTAGCGTCGAGCTCGTCGAATCAGGGCGGGACCCCATGCTACGCCGCACAGATCTCATCTCAAACGCTACTCTTCGTCCTGGTACAGTGTCTCCTAATCGTTCCATCATCAGCCATATGCTGCTCCTGAGCAAGAAGAGGGTCGCAATTTGACCCTGATCCTCATCGAAGTCTCTCTCGCCAGGACACTATCCATCACCCTTCCATACACTCTCTGTTCCACAAACCGGCCGCAATCGACGTCGTCATTCGTGTTCTGTCGAGCGCCGTGTGACTGAGCAAAACCGACCGGCGCAAATCTGAGTTTGACTTAACCTGCTCTCTCATTGTCTCGAGATTCTGCGTCCGCTTATAACATCGTCTTGCATCAAGCCTCAGAAAGTCGCATACATCATCCAGCTTTTGCAGGACCATCAATGCTTGGATCGTGAATCGCATGCCCATTAAGCGCGAGCCACGCTCGCTTGTCTGGTGGCCTCACCCACCGCCGTGCTGCTGTTCCGACAGGTCGCATACATGGCCTAAACCGCTGTGTTGGTCCTCGTCCACCTTGGTAAGTCGCTTGCTAGAGGCAGAGGTGACTCTGGCCTCGCATGCGCCGTACATGTAGTCAGATGAGGCCTCCATCACCAACCCTCTCCCCTCGCACATCTGATGATTCATTCGCATTTCGAAAGCGTCGGATCTGCGCGAGTGATTGCAGCTCCCAAATGTGAGCCCTTTGGTTCTCGGGCATTTAGCATCTGCTCGGAGGGCCAGGGTTGTTGGGGACGCAAGAGCTATCGCTGTAGTCGAAGCTGCCTCTTCGTGCTCTCGTCAGTGATACGCTGTCCATTCGAATTCAGTGTGCTTGTTGTGCTTCAGCATCGAGCGTCGCTCGAGGAGGGTGGGAGAAGGCGTTCGGCAAGGTCCGTATCCGAGGGAATGAGTACTTGTAGACCTGACAGCCGAAAGGATCTGCGATGACGCCGATGTGAGAAGGTCATAGGCAAGGGTGATGACAGCTGGCATAGATACTATCGTCTGCCCTGGTCAGCGTTGCACGATCCTTTGATTGAAACACGCATGGGTATTCGACTCACAGCTCTGAAGAAGTCCGCCGGCGTGGCTTGAGATGGCATTGGCTATGCGGCGACAACGTGCGGTTGGCCAGTCAGCCCTGCGAACGAGCGGCGTTCCCCCGGAGGCCGGCAGTGCAGTTGGCGAAATGTGAATATGGGATCCTGAACAGGCACGGAATGACTGGAAGCTCCATAGCTGCTTAAAGGTGCCTGCTGAACTTCCACCGGACGGGGTCAGCTCTTGGACAGCACTCAGCCAGGAACAGAGCGAGTCGCAAGTCACTTACCTGACACTGCCAAGGTTCTTCGGCCACCACTTATTGTGCGGACTAGCTTCGCTTCCGCATCTGTTCCGCGCTACCCTTTGCACACCCGCCATTGGACCACATAAGTTGTCTACAGTCTTCTCATCCAATGTGATCCCCACTGCTGAGCTTGTTGTCCGCTCAAAAGCCCGCTGCTGCGCTCTGTCATGCGCGATCGAAGAGGAATGCCAATCTTTTGTCTGTAGCGATTCGGCGAGAGCAACGCGTCAAGAGGGCCCCGAAGAGTAGGGGAGGTCCTGGCCGATTTCGCTGATTTTCTGCACCTGCGAGCGTTGGGTCTCTGGGATATGCCTTGTCGACCGGCTGACCTAGAAAAGATATTCTGACTGAGACGTGCGCGTAGACAGTCTACACACGCAGCGGCGGTGGGAGAGCGTGGGTGCGAGCATCGCAGACAAGAAAGGTTGGATGAAAAGTGTAAGTACCTTGGGCCGTGTGCTGTGGTCTGGATCTGTGCTCTAGTCAAATAGCTGCCGAACTCACGAGATCAGCATCTCTATCGACCATTAGATCCGCCACTTAGCAATCCAACCCGGCGAAACCTTGTGCTTCCACGAGCTCAACGATGCCCGACAGCCCGAAGATAAACAATTGCTCCGCTGGCAAGAAAAAAACGGCGAAGCGACTCTCCCGTTTCTGCTAGGTGTTCCGGACTGCGCTGGGCAGCTCGCCATAGCCTACTTTCGGCAGCTGGAACAGAGCAGGTCACCGTTCTCGTGCCTGTACAGCGCAGCGGGCGGGAGCGGGTGCCTTCCGAAAACGCAAGTAGTCCGGACTTGTGCGCGTTGAGACGTTGTGCGAGGCAAGAATGCGGCCGGAGATGAGAGCGGAGGCGGATTCCTTGAGGAAGATGCGCGCTCAACCCAGTTTGGCGCTGTGGGTCATGGGGTCATTGGGCCCCTCGCTCTTCCTATGTCGATCTTCGCGACCTTTCCTTGGAGTGCCGAGCAGCACAGGGGAGTTGAGGTGTGCTGCAGCGGCCCCAGACTGTAGCTGTTGCCGGGGCTGGAACGGCCTGAAAGGCGAAGAAGCTCAGACGCCATATGCCTCGGCCCATACGACACCTCGGTGATAGCCTTGCGGAAGAGGGAATGCATGAATGGATCCTTCACGCTGGCTAGGCTTGTGTGTCCTGAACGCTCGTGACAGCGCGTGACCACACCATCTTCGGATGAGCCCTGGCAGTCCTTTGCTGGTGCCAAAGACGCGCGGCGCCACCTACTGACCACGGCTTGGTGTCAGCTATGCTCTCAGAGCCCTGAGACGAACAGTACGAACGTGCCAGCTACTGAAAGATGACTCACGCTCACATCTTGACCGGTCCGCCGGCTGCTTGTTCCTGACTTCCTTCCTGACCCGTTCTCTTGAGCTTTGAGCACGCCATCCGTACGCGCTAAGCGCATACAGCCGCTCGCCCATCCCCTGTTCACTTGATCCCCTGTTCACTTCGACCGGCGCTTCAGTGCCCATGCGCAAGCTGCGAAGCTCGAATGCCTTGTCTCTGCTGGATATGGCGACCTCTGCCGGACCATCTTCGCTGGTGATCGTCTACCTGCCACCCTTGCCGCTTCGGCGCGATGTCATTGTAATGTGCTGTGCAAAGCCGGTGTACGAGCTATTATGTACTGTGCAAGAATGAGACCCTGGTGAGGGTGTCGGGTGTCTAGCTTTCCCAGCATCGACGATGAGTCATTTGGTGGGCTGACCCATAGCTTGTGGATGCTGCATTCTCGCGAGGGCGCGCGGCGCGGCTAGCGCGCAGAGCCTTCCCGACGCGCGCCATCACTCCAGCTCAGGACTTGCTGTGTCCCTGTGAAGCGAGTGTGAGAGCGGCAATCAGGTCAATGAATAGAGTGCGCTGTGTTTGGAGTAAGCTTGCTTAATACTACGGTAGGGAAGCCGCAGGGTGGGAAGACGAGCTATAGCTTTGTCACCTCAAGGATCATGCCAACTCTTCAATTCTCGAGGCGCGCCGCGCACGGGCCTAAAATGTGAAAGTCTGGTCTTCGAGCGGGCAGTGCGCGCACAGGCGTACCATTCCCCGGAAACGTGCGGCCTGCAGGCGCGCAGTGTACCATTTCCTAAAAACGCGTACGCAATTCAAAATCTCCCGCGCAAACTCACTTTGCTCCTTTCAAATCGAAACGATATTCAAATTTCCGTCACGTCCCGCGGGTCACGTGATTGTCAAATACGTCACTCAACAGACTTCGTGCAGCAGGACTGAGCTGCATGCCGCGCGCACGCTACCCTACAGCGCGTTCGCATGGCGCGGACGGTGCGGACGGGCGCGGACGCGGACAAACGGCTTTAGGCGGTGTAAACAGAAAGTCGAGAGTATTCTATGCTCCTGGACGCAGAGTCGCCCGCGTTCGCATTCTTGAATAGCGCGGCCGGCGAAGCGAAGTTCGCAATCTGGACCCCCAGCGCGCGATGCAAAGTTCGCAATCTGGACCCCCAGCGCGCGATGCAAAGTTCGCAATTTGGACCCCCAGCGCGCCATGCAAAGTTCGCAAAATCGACCCCCAGCGCGCCATGCAAAGTTCGCAAAATCGACCCCCGGCGCGCAATACAAAGTTCGCAAAATCGACCCCGAGCGCGCAATACAAACTTCGAAAAATCGGCACAGCAGCCACTTGAGCATGCACCTGTACCAGCCCGCGTTCACATGTTCAGCAACCTACCATGCAACGCTTCGGCTTTGCAGTCTGATGCGAGTCAACCAGCACCATCCATCCGGCCATTTACCATCCATCCGGCCATTTGTGACTGAATTTGGCGCTCTTTCGTATCGACCGCTGCGGCCAAGCTGTTCGGATTTCAAGAGTCGTGAGTGATGCTCAACCAGCAGCCCATTACTGGACACCTTCCTTGCGGCTCACATCCGGTTCCTTCTCGCTATCTGCACGCACGAGCGCTGCGGTAAGCGAAGCGCTCGATTGGACCGAGCCTTCTTGTTCCCGCCTGCATGCTGCATTCCTCCCTTTCAATCCGGTCCGACCTTGCACCGCATGCTTGCTTCCTGGCCACTAGCGCCTCTACAGTCCAACGCATAGAGCCACTAATCGAGCAAGCTCGGGCTTCGAACGACGTCGATGAGCGCCGGCCCGCAATGACTGGCGATGAAGCGCACGCAATCAACGGCACGCCGTCCGTCCGCTTCTCGAACTACCCGCGACCCGTCTAGTGCCTCCCGAAGAAGCCTGTCTTGTTCTCAGTCTCCGACGCAGCCACACATGCGCATCCGCTCTCGATAGTCTTCCCTAATTGCGATGAGGTGGCCATGGGTTCGCACTCTTAGTGAGCACCTTGCTTAATCAGATCGCAGACCCTTTGATGCCCACAGGGTTTACTGGGCTGCTTCTTCGCACGCTCTCGCCGCCGCTGTCGGACACACCAGCTCGCACAGCCTTCGCTACCTCCCTTTGCTACGCATACAAGCCCTCCTCAAGGCCAGCACATCGCGCCGAATCGGTGGAGCTCATGGATGGACGAAGCTTCGAGTCCCTCCTTTGACCACGCAGAGGCTGAGCTGACACAACAGTTCTCCTAAGCCCCCACTGCGATCCCGTTCCTAAAGCGAATCTGATCGGCGTTGGTCTGACCTCGAGCCCTTTCAAGAGCACAGTGATGGCCAAAAAGACCGAGACTGGTGAGTAGCACAGCATCCAGGCGGGGCTAGCAAGCTTCTGGAAGCCCCGTATACAGCATACTGCATTCTTGCGGGAACGCGGCCGATAAGCTGACCTTGCATTTGGAACCCGCATCACTCAGAGGCTGCAGCTGTGCAGAGGTGTGCAGCATCCCCCTTTGTATGCAGAACCTGCGGGGTTTCGACCTGCGCTCAGCTGCCTGCTAAAGACCTCGACCACGCGCGTCGCTCGCAGCTCTTGCGCAGCCTCGGCATCAGCGCTCGCTCTTACCTGGAGTCTGGGCGGGAATCCACCACATTGCTGCCTGCAATCGGCTCGGCTCCTATGTGGGCTTAGATGAGAAGTCAGCTCTTCATAAGACCACCCCAAACATGCCGCCAGAGTGCGTCGCTGATTGCCGCAGCACCTGCTGCACAGGCGGACAACTAGCTCGATCCACGGAAGCACGGCGTCTAGCTGAGTCTCGGACCAGGGGTGATCGCGGCTCGCAAGCTCTCGATGAGCTTTCACTCAAGTGCAATCAGCAAAGTGAGTCGAAGAGATGAACACATGGCGGGAGAGAGCAGTGTAACGACATAATTGCCCAGCAGCGCGAGCTGGTGGAAATGCGCTGAGCTGACTCGACTCCGCTCCTTACTCTCCAAACAAAGCAGTGACTACCATGCTGCGAGCCTCTCTTAAGCCGCACCCATCACCAATGGAAGGGAAAGGGCACACCCTGAACTCATCTCTTCGACGCTTGCAACCCTCGAACAAATCTCTGCAGGCTTGGCCGACTATCAAAAAAGAGGAGAGCTTCGCAACCTTCCATCACCTTTCACAGCTCTGAATGAGCACCTCGTTAGCGGAGGTTGCGCAGAGAGACTCAAGAGATGCAGCCACTGGACTTCGATCAGCCCACAAAGCTGGATGCCGGCTTTAATCGGCAGCATCTTCCAACAGACTAGTCGCAAGCAAGAATTCATTATGGCGGTGACCACAGGAGCTTAGCTTGGTCATCGTTCGGCTTTGCTCCATCGCGAACCACATCGATCTCTTAGCGGCATCTTTATTTTTCCCTGACACGCTCAGCTACAACTCTCTCAAAAGCGCTCAGCTGACTCTCTCAATCCCGCGGCACGGGTATCAACAGTCAAAGAGGGCAGCAGGCTCGTAGCATCCACACCTCGCATGCGCACACCACTCAGCATGTCTGCTTTAAGCTCCGGGTCTACGTCCATCGGGAAGCTTGCAACGCAAACGGTCATATAGCTTGGGCATTCAGATTCAAGAGGCGCTTCATCGCCACCAGCCACCACGTCACAGTCAATGCATCTGAACCATGTGAAGATGAGAAGCATTTGTACAGGTCTGTCGCTCTCGTGCACGAGATACGGCTTTGAGCAAATTTTCAACACCTCAAGGGCACCGGGGGCAGCGTTGCGCCAGCGGTCTCAGTCTCGAAGGTCACGGCAGCACAATTGCTATACGCTCAAGCCGTTGTGTCGGCGGGCGTAATGATGCATCGTCAATCTGGCCCCTCGGGCTGTCGACTGCCGCAACAGTGCGCTAGCCTTTAGGCCTTTGAGAGGCGCTGTTAGGCGCGTAAGAAAGACGATCCAACCTAAGCACGCGGTCATACGAATCGGGTCTGGAGAAGATCCTCAAAGGGAATAAATTCAAGAGCAGACAAGCACCATAGTCTACCAGCTTCAAGCGCACAGCACAGCCCGCTACTCACTTGCAGCAAACCTGACAGACAGCTGCAGTTCGGGTCAGCCGCTCTCAGGTGGCGCACAAAGACGTCCAAATGAGCGGTCACAGAAATTGCTGGACCACTGCGAGCACCGATCGATCCAGGGAGACATCCAAAGTAAGCGTGAGGTGGTCAAGAGAGGATGGGCGGCTCGCGGAAGGCTTAGTGAAGGCGAGAGCCTCCGGGCACGTGTATCACATCTCGGCTCGGCCGCTCAATCCCCCTTTCTTCCTTATTCCCTCGGTCAAGCCCTCAGTCGGCGGCGTCAATACTACGTGCTACCTTTGTTGTTCTACGGGAGGGCGCCACGAAATTTCTTCTTGACTCGCTATGTATGCTTTGAGGCGCCTGCTCCATCCGTTCCCTGCCAACTTCCCAGCAAAGAGTGGAAGCCAAAGACCTCGCGAAGCACCATAATCAGACTCGTGCCTCGATCACAAAGACCGACCGGCATCTCTCAATGCTCCAAGCTTTTCTCATCTGCGACTGGCACCACCTGATTTCGTCGATGAGGACTGCCCAACGTGCAAGACGCCTCGACCAGCTACATCGCACCTGCGTAACAACGCGCAACCTGCGATCCGTGGGTGATTGATGTTCAACTCCGAGAAGGCAGCGCTCGCAGCGTGCGGAACCCTTGCTGCTCGATAATCATCGACGGTATCGGAGTAAGTGTGTCGCTCGATAGCTTGACCAGCCATGTGTGGAGACCAGCATTCGCTGACTGACGTTATCGCCCTATGTCTCGCAGCAGAGATTCTTTAGTCATTGTGCCCTTGCGCTTTTGGCATCTGACACGGCGAGACCAAAAGTGGAAGGCGCTCCCAACACTGTCAATTCCGGAACTCTTGATCTCAACATGGCAATCAAATACCGAAAGCGCATCCTGAGGGCCTTTGTGCTCTTTAGAGCGTGGCGTGCCTGTTCCACACTGAGCGCTGAGCGCGCTATTTCTCAATCCTGGTCCGAGCCGGGAGCCGGTCTGTAGGCGCAAGAATCTTTTCGACCTCCTATCAACAGAGCATTGGGTCGGAGCACGCACGGCTGAAAGACCCTAGGCGAACAGAGATGCCAAATCGACCCCGTCAGACTGTGCAACCAAGACATGCCCAAGCCTCTGCTAGGGGACAGGAGAGAAGATGCGGCTTGGCATGGGTGATCTGTAGTGATCCTGCACACTCAAAGAGTGAGTGGATACCGGCCCAAGTACGTGACGCATGCCTTGGAGTGTCTGACACTCTCTTGACCCTTCGCCCCCTTGTACAGAATTCATCGGAGCGGAGATGGTGCATAGACAACGAGGAGCAGAGGCCACGAATGGTGCAGCGACTGAGCCAGCTTCAGACACGACGAACACTTGTGCGACTTTGCGAGAGGGTCGGTATTCAAGAACGCAGCAACTAAATAGCCGAGAGCGCGCGAGACTGGGTCTCTCACGTCAAAGGAGAGCGACGGACCTTTATTTTTCCCGGAGACCGATCAAGAATGGCAAAGATCGCCCGATGGAAGCGGACGAGGGTGCCACAGAGTTGGCTCTTCAAGATGACAGCGATAGAAACCAGCAAGAGCCTGAACCGATCACCTCTCAAACAAGCTGACGGCTAAAGGCAGCAAGAACGCTCACAGCCTCGCGGGGGACGAGCGAGTGGCAAACACAGCAACGACAGCGCCAGTTGCCAACTCAATGGTTCTTGTGCTGTCCAGCGGATCGTCATTGCAACATACACGGAGCGTCAATCTGAATGAGGGATATCGATGAGGAATGTCCACTTTGACTGGAAGCATTGCCGCTCGGAGTTCAGCGGCCGTCTTGAGTCGGGGCTTGCCGGCTGCTTCCCTGATCTGACAGCGAGATCACAGCTTAGCGATCTTGCAATGCGATGGGTCGAGCCAGTCTGACATCGTTTGGTGGTCGGCTCGTCCTTCGAGCGACTTGCGGAGCCAATGCGAGTCACTTGCTAGTATCTTTGACCACGCCACAACTATCCCGATCAGCTGCGAATGCAATTGGTCCACTCACTCATTCTGCCACGCGCACCGATATCTGGCTGTGACCCCGACACGAGCGCGTGCAACCTTCCTTCAGCCAAGATCAGGGTCGACGAGAGAGTACACTGTATACATAAGATTCTGACCAAGCGGAGAAGAGGTGTTGAGATCTACAATGCCATCGAAGTTGACACGACGCAGCTCACAATATCTTGGCGCGCCAGTCGAGCGCCGCCACGGGTCGCAACAGCCTCGACTCGCCTTCGAATCCTGGCTTGAGCGAGGGTCCACCGACGTCTACAGCGGCTGAAGAGGCCAATCAGATCCGATGCTCTTGCCATACAGCGCTCCCGAGGATATCGCATTTGCCGAGTGAGCGCAGGTCGATTTGAGGCCTGCTAGTTGACACCCTCGAATGATCGGATCGCTGACACACCTGCATCGTGCGCCAGGATTCTACCGACCGGGGACATCTTTTACGTGTTGCCTTTTGAATCGATGGTCGGTGATGGTCAGGGGTAAATGAGATGCTAGCCCCGGGTGGAGGTATGGTGTCCTCTGGACATCCTAATGCGAACGCAGACCAGGGCGTCAAATTGATGACCGGTAGACCGCTAAAGTGAAGCTACACGACTCACACTGTTGGGCTGCTCAATCTGGTGAACGCTGCTGCGCACTGTACCTTGGGCCCTCTGAAGCTGTGGGAATCGTTGGCGTGAGAGGTAAAGTCTGACGCCGATCGGTATGGGTCCATACACACCTTTCTCACACTCGCATTCTCGCTTTACGAGCGAGCCACTTGACTCTTGCGCCTACGTTCCGCTTGCACCTTCATCCTCTTCTGCGCGATTTCCACCACTGAGCTTGAAGACCGACCAAAGAGCCAGCGGCATACAGACCTCGCGTAGCCAATCTCCTCTAGCGGACCAGTCTACTTGAAAGGATGTTTGTCGATCTCGATTGGCGCGGCGGAAGGTTTAGATCCTCATGTTATACTATACCTTCAATGAAGATCAATGCGGGGCCCGAGGGCTGGACTGGTGAGTAGCAGCGAACCAAAGGAAGGTTCAGGCGCCTCTGGCTTCGGACCTCTCGACGAGCCACACGAGCAGTGAGTGCGGAGCGGCCTTTTGGAGAGCAGCTTAGAATGATCAGGCTACTTCTGTCATGTGGCTCCTTGCTGAGTTGCGCTGCCGGAGGCATCCGAGAGTGGTTAGGGAGAGGTCGAAGGCCTTGGTTTCGCTTCGAGGATTCCAACAAGGCGCAGCCGATGGACTGTGGGAGGCTTCGGCTGCAGAAACGGCGCTTGGCTGACAAGTCGCTCGTTCCAACCTCGATAGTCAGCCTTGCGGATCGACCCGCTTTTGGAGTGACGAGAGCAGGGAGCTACTAGGCCAGGAAGGACTCAGCTTTATGGCTCCAACCGTAAATACTTGCTCGGCTACAGGATAAAGTTCGGGCAGCTAGATCACCGACCATCGTCGCAACGCCAGGAAGGAGATAACTCAAAATACATGATGCACCACTTGTGAACTCTTACTCGGCCACAGGGAAAAATTGGTCGGGCAGCTAGCGTCTGAATCGGAAATCAAGTACTCGAAGGCAAAGGAAGGGCGCTGAGACAGCTCCGGAAAGCTCAGCAGAACAGCAAAGAAGAGTCAAAAGTCGCGAAGATGGCGTGATGCATGACTCGCCTTTGTTGGGGATGGACCGGAAAGCCCGCGGGCGCTGAACACTGCGCTCCTGCACACATCTGGCAAACCAGCTGCACCATGGCGTTCGCCCCACGGAATTCTTGCTTGCTTCGGGCTGACTGAAAGAGGACTCACAACTCTCGACCTAATCAGAATCACAACGCGGGTCAAAGTCGTGAGTATCCATATTCAAATGAGGGCCTCGAAGGCGTGCATTTGTGGGCGCTATTCGATCGGCTGGGAGAGGCTGAGGAGATCGAGGAGGACAGTAGTCAAGAGCGCGACCACCTTGATTCTTGACCATCACCAGATTGACCTCCCCCTCTTTCTAAAAGCTGCACGCAAGATGACCAACATTCCTCCGCCGACTCCAGCTCCGCAGCTGAACGGAAGTCTCAAGCTCAACGAAGAGATTGTGACCAATGGGAAAGAGGCGCTTGAGGCTCTCCACGGCATGATTCAGTCGCGGCCCCCGCAGGAGCGCCTGATGCTTCTCGTTCACCTGCAACAGATCGAGAAGGCCTTGAGCCATGTCGAGGAGATGCACAAAGCAGTCTACGTGCTTCTAACTCTCGATTTTTCTCAGATCGACAGCATGGTGAGTGCCAGTGTTGTCTTCTGAGTGCGCATACACTGGGTAGCGAAAGTGGTTTCGGTCAACGTCAGCTGGCTCAATTGGTGTATTGGAAGGGGAGAGCTGCTCAACCAGGACGATTAACGCTTTTGTATCAGCGAGTGAAAATCATCCCGCTGACTGCGAAGACCTCATCTCTCCCCTTCCTTCTTCTTCTTCTTTCTCCTCTGCCCTCTGCAGATTGAAACGCTCGCTATGGTAGCCGATTACTTCGACCTCTGCATGCCGAATCGTGGCGCTTTCGAGAGTGACATGGACTACATCAAGTGCCTGACGCACTTTGTCGGGATAAGTCGAAACGCAGAATGAGGTGGGTCAGACACTTACAACTTTTCTCTCAACTCGCCATGATCGCAGGACCACGTAAAGAAACAGCAGGTCCGACGCGCAGCAGCCCGCATGAGCAAAGAGGCGGTCATCGCCAAGGTCAACGAGCTCTCCGACCTGCTCGCTACCTTCACCACGGATGAATACAAGTGGGACTTTCAAGAGAATCCAGCAACCTCTATGCAGCCACCGGCCCGCGACAACGCTGTCCCTATCAAGGAGGACTCGGAGGTCCAGGGAGACTTGGCCGCGCCTGATCACTTCGCTTGACGGCAATTAATGGCTGCGCCCTGGACGTGGCTGACCTGGCTCGTCGACAAGACTTGATCGAGCGCCTCCATCAACTCAACTTTGAATCAACTTGTGCTTTCAAGAGAGCGCTGCCCTCGCCTGCAGGTATGAACGAGTACTTCTATCGTCATGAAGGTCGTACTCTTGTGAATAGAATCGAACACCGCGCTTTGCGCCACTCAAGACTAGACAGTCACATTGTCAATCAGATAGTCGCAATTTCACCATTCGTGAATCCACACTGTGAGCTCCATGAGAGGGTGGCGAGAGTTGTGGGATGGATCATGATGTATGTGTCGCTCATACCATGAAGGAGGTTCGCAGCTGTTTATGTGCCTGCCGCGCCCTCTAATTTTTGCCACTTTGGGACGTGCTGCAGTTGTAACGCGCGCACTTTTGGATAAAACGCGCGCCATACGGCAAGCGTGAAGCTGCAGGCGGCCGATTGAGGTAAACTATTCAACGCGCTGCTCAGACCAGGATCAGGTTCGAAGCCACCTTGTGAAACTAAATATAAAAATAACGCCGGGGAACCCAGGGGGGAAGCCGTATAGTTTTGCCTCGCGAAAATCACATGCTTGCTTGCTTTCCTTTTTGCCTGGTTTGCGTCTATACATACACACTCTTTGGCTGCGAATGATCACTCTTAATTAAAGCGTGGTGAAACTCAGTGCTCCTTGTGCACGATGACAGACAAGACTTTTGGCTGAATTGCAGCAAGCTGCAACTTTCGTCTCGACACACTCCTGGCTTGCGGCAAAATAACGAGCCGAAGGGCACAGATCTTCCCGAACGAGTATCCGACACGCAGAGACTCCCAACGGAGGATGGCAGCGAAGCACTCTCTGGCCGTACGATGCTCGGCCTGACGTATGTTCTGGTACTCAACGCGGCGGTGAATTGCGTGCACCACTATCGCCGATGTCCAACAGTTGGATGATGGCGTCTTATTGCAAGTGCGTGCGTGTGATCTGATGCACATATGCATGCATGAGCGCATGCGCGACACCACTTGTCTCGACTTTGGCCATGTGCCATGCACTGCTCGTAAATGCGGCTCGACCTCCGTGAAGCGGAATTTAGATGAAAGGTGATGAAGAGCGCTCACTTGGCAGCCTGGAGTCGCAGACTTTGAGGAAGAATAAGGTGTTCCGACACTCTCGGACTGATTTACGCCCCTTGCGATATCCGCCAAGCAGGGCTGACTTCGGCAGGCATCTTTGAAGTTGCGGCAATCATGGACATGTTCTTCGCATGTAGAAGAGCCCTGACCTATCCCTTGAGTCAAGGTCAGCTAGTAGACCAGGGGTCGTATACTCGGCCGAACAGAATACGAGTAGACTTCTGAACGCGATGCATAAATACAGGTTGCGCGTCAAAATGGTTGAAATGCGAGTCAAGTACAGATCGCAGCCAAGATCCGTGGTCACCCATTCGCCATCACGTAATTTTGATTAATTCAAGATTGGCCTTCAGGGCGAGCAGAGTCACATTCGGGCGAGGCAGAGCTTTGGCATCATGTCGCGTTCTTGTTTGAAGATGGATCATGCACCAATCAATCGATTGGGGCTGACGTGTTGGCAGCCTTTGCGCGCGTGCTGGACGTGTGCCTCGTCACGCTTGCAGCCGCGGCGACTGGCTGATGCGGTGCGTGTTAATTGCTCGACCTTGCTGGCTTGCTGCCTGCAGCAGATGCTCAGCGCACTCGCTCAAAGTGGTGACCGTGCTGGTGCTGGCGAATTTGGACGCTCGTTCAGAAGTCTGATTCGCGAGTCTGCTAGGCCATACGACCATCTGCATCCAGGCGCGCCGTGAACTGCCTGCTTTCTGCCATCACCATTCAGCAGACGCGTCCCTTTCTTCACGCATTCACGATTGATCACCACCCAAGTCCATCACACGAAACACTTTTGACTCTAAGGTCGCTTCACGATGCCGCAATCAAAATCAAAGCTCAAAGCGAAGATGGAAGTGGACCCACAAATCTTAAAGCAGTCACAGGAGGCAGAGGAGGGACTCAAGGAGATCCAGCGAAATCTGCCCACAAGCGAGCGCCTGCGCCACCAGGCGTACATCAAGAGCCTCACAGAGGCCCATTCGCATTTGTACCAGAAGTGGTTGCACGCCTACAGTCTTGTGAATTCGTACAACCTTGAAGTTGCTGTGAGTCGCGCACCTCGAAACCCGGCTTTGTTGGTAGCGGGTCTCCCATGCTGACTTTTCTAGTCGCTCTGTTGACCGAATCCCCAGATCGAAAATATGTCCGACGTAGCCAAGCTACTGAGGATCACGGTGCCGCCTGGGCACCGATTCAACAGCGAAGCCGAGCACGCCAAGTGCTTGTCAGGTCTCATAGGAGTGAGTGTTCGATTCGACATTCTGAGTCATCTATTCGGTGGTAGTAGTGATGAAGAAGGTGTCTACATGCGATCGTCCGTTTGTATGCACGCGTGCGTGCGGCATACGTGACATTGAAGAGCCGTGCTTCTGAGATAGCTAGCGTTCTTACTGTACCTATTACCTACAGGCTAAAGCGATTGAGGAGCTCGCCCAGGAGGGGCGTGTCCGGAGTCAAGAGGTGACTCTCGATCTGGTCATGGAGGAGATGACGAAGAGGTTCGACAGACTGCCTGAGGCACTCGCTAAGGCTCTGTTGCCTAGACCTTTAGGAGAGGTAGCAGGCCCTGACGAAGCTGGCCCTTCGGAGAGCGTTGATGACGAAGACGCCACAGAGCAGGGCCCTGCAATTACGGTCAAACAGGAACCGCAAGAGGAGAGCGTTCTGGACCAGGTAGAGGACGTCAATGCCCCTCTTGCGGCACAGGGCAGTGGCAGTGGGAACAAGCGTCCGCCCACAAACAGCCCACTAGCAGACCAAGTGCCGTTCAAGAGGGTTGGCCCTACTTTGACCCGCTCCGCCTTTGGATCTGTTGCCTTTGCCACCCCCTCCGGCCTGGCCATTAGTGACGCTCTCTCGCCCTCTGCTGCCGCTTCCGCCTCCGAAATCCCGACTTCGATTCCCTTGATTTTCGGACCCCATGCAACGTCGGCAGTGTCTCGGTTGCCTTCATCATCCGCTCCTCCTCCCCCGAGCGGCCCCAAATCAACGGGTTCTCGGTTCCCTTCTTCATCCGCTCCTCCCCACCCGAGCGGCCCGAAGTCGACATCAGTGTCGGCAGCTTCCGGCTCCGCGAACCCTCCGAGCGGCCCGAAGTCGACATCAGTGTCGGCAGCTTCCGGCTCCGCGAACCCTCCAAGCGGACCAAAGGGCTGGAAGGGTCCGGCTTCTAACAGGACGAAGAAGTAGTCCTACCTTTCCGTCCACCGAAAGGCAGCCGTCAAGTACGCACTGCAACTCAGAAGCTGTGCGATTGTAGTGGCTTTCCAGACTGATTGTGAGTGGGCTCCTTCGAAAAAGTTGCCTGCTAGACCGTGCGCGTAGCTGAGGGCGCCTGTTCCTCCATCCTGATTGCATTGACAACCCAAGCAAGCTCTCAGACCGGTGACTGACTAGGGATAGCGAGAGCAAGCTGCTACATGGCATTGCTCGTTCAGTCCGCAAGAGCGAAAGCAAGAGTTACATGCAAGACGCGCCTTACTGAGCGAGCGCCGTGGCCAGATCTATGAGAGCATTGTCAGCGTTCTGCCTTCTTTTCATCATCCCTTCGGCGCTTTCACAAAAATGGCGATCAGTGACAAGCGTTCGTGAATGTGTTCTTCGCCGGCAGTCATCGTCAAGAAAGAGGCTTCCTGTACCGCATGCGTGCTTTGTTCGACGAGCCTATGGTGGAGGAGCTGGGCAACGCTACGTCGTTTATCACGAGAATAAAGGGCAGAGGCGTCAAGCTCGCAGAGCAAGAGGGGCACTGACATGCAAAAGTCGTAAGATTGAGACGCAGCTCTATGATATATGTGAAGTAAGACTCGGTGTGGCTTCACGGCAAGTGCAGCACTCCTTTGGCTTGACCACTCCTTCACAAAGCACTCGCCCGCTTCATCAGCCTCATACGTACAGCTACAACCCAGGCATCCGGTCGCTTGGCGGACGGAATGTGGTGTAAGCGAGTCATCTTGCTAGGCGCAAACATTCAGCCCCCTTGGGAGCATCATGGTACCAGTAAAGTCAGTACGAATTTTTGATGAGTACATGCGCATGGCGAGCGGTCAAGAGACGTACCGCCTCTTCACTGGCGCCGAACTCCACCCCATCGATTGCTCTTGTTCGCTCTCGGCAGCTTCACACCTTTGCATGCCCAGCCTGCAACACTCCGACACGCCCAATTCAACGTTCAGCTCGAAGGAATTTTAGCGCTCACGAGGCTCAGCTTCGAGAGCGCGCCACCGAGCATAGCATGTGAACGCGCTTCTTCTGCTTTTCGGCCCAAACCATCTCAGCCATGACCTTCTGCTTCACCTTTTGCTTCGACGCTTCAGCTCCCACAGCAGCAACGAGCCCATCGTGCTCGATCTCCGCCACGCCACATTGCTCCCACTCCACCAGATCGCTGCTTCTCGCTTGGCATATCGAAGTTTGTGGCACCGGTGCGAGATCGGAGCTCATTCTTGGGGCGAAGGATATAATCTCGCCTCCAAATACTCCTGCAGAAGGACGAGATTGATGAGCGAGGCGAATGCAGAATGGTGCTCAACCGCGAGAGGGCTCACAACTGCTGACTTACTTCCACGCTTACGCCTGGCTTTCGTAATTGCTGTGGTCAACAGACGTACCAAAAGGCGCCGAATCCGGACGCCTGTCAGCACGCAATTCGTTCGGCTTTGTCTGACGACCCAAGCTTGAAGCGCTCTCTGGCGAAGTAGACGCGATAGAACAATCCCGCACATGGCTCAGTCTCATCGATGCATGTATTAGTCGTTATTCTCGGTGTTTGGCCAGACGGAGAGAATCGGGTCGCTTGCTTGTGAATGGCGAGCCAGGTGCTGCAGGGCCAGTCCAGCGTGGCAGCAACAAGGATACTTGGCGTGCTCGAGCAACTGGCGCGAACCGCAAATGAACACGGATCGAGCTCCAAAGCAGCGAACAAATGCCTTGATGGTGGAAATGGACTGCGTAGACGCTTGTCGGTATCCGCCCGTCGTAGCAGCTATCTGTAAGTAGCCCAAACTACTTCCGGGCAACTCGCAGGACGAAACACGAACGAACTTCAAAATTGCTCCATTATACGCCCCCTCCGCCGGCTTCACTCACCCTTTTAAGGCGTCCACGTCGTCGTAGACTTACGGCCTGTGACGTAGTATATAGCTCCAACGATGTGACGCTGCGCAACGTCCTGCACCTCGTCGAAACATGGTCACGGATTAGCAATGGAAGCGGCCGCTTCTACGCAACATTCCGGATGAAGAGCCCTTCTCACTCTCTCCGTCATGATCTGGAATTTGCGGCTGTATGTAGAAGATGCCGTTTAGATGTTCGGATGAAATAGGACGTCGCTTGAGCCAGAAGATTGACCTTGGACGCGAAGGTCAAGGCGGTGGGTTTTGGTAATCTTGGAGCTGAGACTCGAGAAGCTGACACTACGGGCTCCGACGGCAGAATGGTGGGCAGCGTTGTCGAAGTCCTGCTGACAGACTCGCAGCCTTGCATCTCTTGTTCTCGTCGTTAAGATGTCCGCATGCGCCAAGGGCGGGCGTTAGGTGCCCATGCGATGACTCGGCGCACAGTGCTATACGGCATTCAAATTAACAAGACCTGTTGGCGTAGCTGACACTGATTGTCTTGGACGCGCACCTTGTTCGCGTCACCCAACTAGCATACTCGCAAAAGAACATGTAGACTTGACTTGGTATGGATAAGAGATGCCGAGCGGTCGTCACGGAGAAAGCGGGCTCACGTGGTGGTTTTGCCCTCGGTCACAGCAGAGGAGAGATAGCTCGCATGAACGCAGACGAGGTCATGCCCAAGACACTGACAGACCACGCGGCGGACGCGCTGCTTAGGTCTCGCGTCAGCAGCCGAAAGGTATGGGACCCGCGTCTCATTCGACACCTATCTTCCGCGACTGTTGATGTCGAGCGTAATTCGCGCCTAAATCCAAGCTCTCTGTGTTATCTAAGTCCTTGAGCACGGACGATCGCTCCGCACAGTCCCGAGGAAGCGGAAACTCTTGCACTGTGCGTAAGGCTAGCCCATCTTAATGGTGGAATAGTCCAGCAGTAGTCAAGATTGCTTGGCGTTGGTAAATACTGCAAACACACAATTTTTTTGCTCTTCTTGACGAAATGTGCTTCCATTCCCCTGGCGCTGGAAGAGAGTTGGCAGAAAAGCAGCGCAGGGGGGCCAAGTTAGCGATTGCTGCTCTCGTGTTGAATATGACCAAGCTTTCAAGTATACTCTAAAACTGCTCAAGACGCCCATGCCCTCGTCTCGTGCCAGACTTGAGCATGATAATGCGATAAGCAGAGCTTCGTGTCTTCGAATTAGACGCCGCAGACCTCAAGGCTACCTTCGTGCTCCAACTTACCCGTAGACATCCAGGACAGATGAACATTGTGTACCGAAGCCACGCGCCCCATAACAGATAAAGTTCCTCCAAAAATAGTTGCTGAATGTCGCTATGTCGGATCGTCCCTTCCAAGCAAGCGCCTCAGCGCTCGAAAAGAGTCTACGTGAAAAAGCTATGGTGTGGAAACCGATATGCGGCAGCTTTGAGAAGGCTAGAATGCTTCGAAAAGTTGATTCACCTCAGTGACGCGAGCTGCCACAAAATCCATATGCCAGAGCAGCGATGCGGCTCAGCTGTCTTTGAGTGCCAGCGATTTCGGCCAGGCTATACCGCGAGAAAGAAATGTGGGGCGCAACAAGGCCAAGTGCTGAATGTGTCGTGCAAGAAACGCCCAATAATCCCCCTCGAGCCTGCCTAAGAGCTGTTCCATTGCTTGGAATCGATGGCAATGGGTGGCGAGAGCAGCGGAGGCAAGACCTGATTGAACAGACCGATCACAGCCTACTGCAACACAAGAGTCCTCATTTGTCTCGTACAGCGGCGTTGTCGACGAGTGAGAGAAGATGCTTACCTCTGGTGGCTGCGATAGGCGTATCTCAAAGATTGATGCTGTGACGAAAGTAATTCTGTCTTATCTGCTAGTGTCTCAAGCGTCCAAGGTCCGCATAGTCCAAGCACCTCGCAAGGGCCGTGCGCGAAGTCACTCGGCACACCGAAAGGTGTGGGCTCAAGGCAACTAGCTAGCCATGCTTCCCTCAAGTGCGCAAGAAATTTGCTGCCGTGTGAGGATTTGTGCGGTCGAAATGTTCCCATTGCGAAGCCCCCACTTCCATCCTTCTGCTTCGAAGGCCCTCATACCTGCCGCCTGCTATGCCGTCTTGGAATGCCAGCCGAGCTCAGAATTACACGTGACGAAGGGTGCTGAGGGGAGAGGAACACGCAGGGACATTTGCAATGCTAAATGATCCATTTCGCGCATTTGATCTGCGATAGGTAGCGACGTGTGCGTTGTAGCCTGGTGGTCGTGGCTCTCAGCGACCCCGTTCCCAAGTTGATTCGTTGCCTGCCAAGCGTCGGAGAAAACGTTTTCAACTTGGCTCATTGGACCACGATAACTTGTCGACGCTCGAAGCACAGCGGTAGCAGTTCAGGGTCGACCGAGAGGAAAGATGATCGCCCGTCTGATGTCAGCTGACTGCCGTCGGTAGGAGCATGGGATATGGCGGACGCCAGGTTGTCTTGTTCGATAGGGAGGAATAGGTGAGGGTTCACTCCATTGTAATCCCACATTCGCGAGGAGTAGCCCCCACATTGACGACACAAACAAGCCTCTGGTGGCCAGCAACACGACGTCTTGAAGATCGAGGCGAGAGCGCGAAGCTATGATCAGATCAAGCGATGGCAGATACAAAATGGAGAGAGGTCAGCTTGAGTCTTACTATACTGAGGTCGGGCCGTGGTTGCTCCTAGACCAGCGAGCGCCCTGCAGTCGCGATGCCGATTTGTGACCGCGGTCGGGGCTCGAAGCGCGGCTGATGTGTAGAAGCTAAGCCCTCTGGACGAGCGAGACCGTGCAGAAGAAGCTGACAAGGATGCCTCTACTCACAAGGCCATCATTTTTGCAAGAGGCGTCCGTGGTAGGTTAGGCGCCTTCATGACGCATCCCACCATGCCCTCAGTGCTGCTGATAGCTCGCGTTGGCCCGGCCCCTTCGCGAGTCTACGCCGCCAGATTGCCTGACGTGCGAGAGGACCTCACTTGCACGAGAGACCGCTCCATTAAGCTCGCCAAGAGCTAGAATCGTAAGGGTGGGATCATTGGTCTTTGCAATCGAACATGTGCTTTG